GTAAAACAGTGTTAGATCTTCATTGTAACTCCATGATCATCGTTGAAAACAACCATTATGTATTTTTACCACATGCCGACTCAGTACCATCTTTAGCTAAAGTAGAGAATGAAACAATGCCAAATTTGGATTAATCTACAGTTGACTCTCGCCCTGTGCACCCCTCACTATTACAGACACCTCGCCACCGCAAACAAGAGCCACCCCCTAGGGAAAAGCATGAAGAAACGAAATAAATTCCCTTTAAAACGGACTCTTCCTTTTATCAAAATGTAGACACTTTCAAGCCCCACAGCACGACATTTCTCTTGTTCTTTCTCTCGCTATAACAGACACTTAATACTTCATCCAAAATCCTGACAAACATACTATAAAGCGACATTATGAAAAAAGAAAATAAAGAAACCATTCTTCAATTGGGTGTGAACATGAGAATTTCCTGCTTGCGGCCTGATCTTTTTCCCGTTTGTGAGGCCACGTTGGAAACTTTATTTTATCTCTCATACCCCGTTATTACAGACTCTTCGCTATTACAGAAACTAAATCTCCCCGCTAGGGTGTCCGTAGTAATGGAGTCAACCCTCAGGGGTAAGGTACAAAGTGCAACTCATGGTGTTACTTTTAATAGTGACACGATAACAGGTCAAACCAACATGCGATTAACTGATTGTATACGATGTACAAAATCTATCTAAATTACCTAATTGTCGGTTTTTTAAGGCGTAATTTAGGATCAACACCGAAAAAACTTAGTTTATCATTATATACTGTTTCACCATCCTCAGCCTCTACCATCTCAATATTCCCTTCTAGCAAAACACAGAGTGAGGGAAAACTAAATCGGGTGAAATTTCCTTTCAAAAAAATATTTTGAATGAGAACTAAATGTATTTAAAAGCATTCTTGGTTTAGATTTGCCATGAAATTTAATTTAACAGCATATTTTACTTCACCTTTTATCGTTAGAAGTTTCATATAAAGCTTTTCTAGTTTTTCTTCAAGATCAAAGGTGAGAGATCCAGGAAGAGGCAACATGCCTAAAAACAAAGGTATGTAGAGAGATATTACCATTTCTACTAATTAATAGTTGGGAAAAGGCATACCAACTTGCATTTAAAGATACTAGTAGGTACATGTACACTGTAGATTATCTACATTTAAGAACAGAAGCTTTAAAACCGAAAAAAAAAAAACTATTGAGAGCAACTGAAAAAGTAATCACTCTACATGTATGTAACATTTCCTTAATTTATTGCAAGGAAACTCAGCACTACCTTTAACTAGAGAAGAGAATGAGGCAGAAACACATTTCAAATAATTTGCATTGACAAGTATCATTTATCATAATTGCTGACAGAAGCATTCTTGCCTATTAATAACAGTAATTTCTATTGTAAAAGATGACTAAAACTACATTCACGTTCTTTTTTCATTTCTCTTTTTTTTTTTCCCTGAAGTTTCATAACTTCACTCCTAAAGCTTTTTCGGCCAATTTACGCACGGATGAATTCTTCCACTTCTTCAATGTCAATGCATCAAAACAACAAGTCAGTGATTTGTTATGTTGTTTTCTTTTTTTTCTTGGAGCATGTCAGGGGGAACTGAACCCAAACTGGAACCCATGCTAGACTTCAACACGTCAGCGAAAACAACTGAAAGCAGTAAGCCCCACATCTTTTTATTCATTTCAAGGTGGTTTGATATCAGTTTTAAGGGTAGATCAACTAAATCCACTTAAAAGCGGGTACTTTTCCCAATAACAAAGGGAAAAACTCAACAAACATGAAGAACATTAAATAGTTGATAACTTGCAATACAATACAACTTTTTACTTGGCTTACTGGTAGTAGCTGAACATAATGAGCAACATGTTTCAATTACATTAACTTCAAAAATAATTCAAACTGAGCATCCTGTTCACCTTTCCTTCCCCAAGGTTCTTCTAGTTCTTTTCCATGACCAGTGGTCGGTATCACAATGAGGGGTGAAGTACCTAAGGGTAAAAATGCAGAGAGAGATTAGCATTCACAGCTTCTCTTCAGATGTTTTGTTCTCATAATTGGAACTGTGTACAATTATATTAATTAATTGATGCCACATCATTGCACTGAGATAATTCTTCAAGTACTTATAACATAACCGTTATTATTGTTCACAACAGCTTTCCATATAACTTAATATAAGTTTTTTTAAATTTCCTTTTCACCTTCCAATTTCGCTGTCTCCATAATCTTTGTTTGCTGTTCACTTTTTTCCCATTGTTCTTTTGTTAGTGGACTTTCACTGGTTGAACTTGTGGAGTGGAATTCAGAGGACAAAGCACCTAAAATCAGATTTACAAGATGACAAACATTTTGAACCATAAACATACCTCAAACTATTTTTAAAAACACCCAACATGTAAAAACTAGAAATTTTTTTCTTTCATAGCCCCTCCAATGAAAATCTTGCGAAAATCTGTTCAGAAGATTAAAGAAAAATTTTTTCAGTTGACCATTTTGACGACTGACAGTTGAAATTTGTCAATTTTTATGCCTAACGGCTATTTTTTTTGCCATTTTACGGTTAACTACATTGAGACCCTCCTACATGTACTAAGGTTTACTGACTAAGCAATTATATACATATATATACATGTGTGTGTGTGTGCGTGCGTGTGCGTGTGTGTGTGTGTGTGTGTGTGTGTGTGTGTATTTTGTTAACCAAGCATGAGGTCAAGATGGCTGAATATTGGACCAAGACGAGCTCGAGGTCCATAAAACTCAAAAAGATTTCACTTTATTAAGAATCAAGAATGACTTGTTTATTTCAGGAGCACGGAAAGAAAGCCAACTGTGTTTGTAGCACAATAAACCCACGCGAGTCATTCATGATGTCTTTGTTTTGACAGTCTTCTGTCCCTTTTCTTCCACCTCCATCACCGAGATTTGTAAGTCACCTTGGCGCAGTGTTTTTCTTGTGTGGAATCTAAGCGGGCAATCCCAAGGGGGCAGCTTAGATAGTCAATCCCAACACAGGATTCTCTTCATATTACCCACAGGTATGGCCAGCGATAGTATATGGTAAAGTTAATAACGTCAGGTAGCTCATGTGATTATTGTAACTCTAAGGTAGCTTCCACAAAGGCTCTTCAACGTTCAAGTAACAAAATCCAAGTTACAAACTGCATGTGTACACTGTGTTACAGCTTTGACCCGGACAATAAAGTTTGCAGTGCCTTAACAAACTGAAGGGTGTAAATGGATACAATCAAAAACGCCTTGGCAATCTCATAAAAAGCCCTAGTAGTATCCACTACAATACCGCGCACTTGACACTTATGCAGATCTAAACCACTGCACGCGCGCACCACGCCAACTGTGCATAACATGAAACAGTACCTGTAATTTTGCATATGTAGCAAAATTTGAAAGTTTCCAGGACCAGAATGAGCTTATCCTAAGAAGTCAGATATTCTTTTAACATGCACTACGACGAAATTCACTTTTCCCTGGTATTTTGTTCCTTTTCTTCTACAATTTTTATTTTCCAGTGCAATGGGAGGTTTTCTTCTTGCTACATGACGGCTGATGCCTGGGTTGCCAGGATTTACCATTCGTGAAAACAGTCTCCACCTAAGTGCTGGGTGCCAATGGAGGAACATAGCTGATGTATAAGGCCTCCAATGAGCATAGCAATGGTCAATAATTACTGCAGTAGAAGGCTGCATATGCAGGAGTTCCCTGGAAAAAATTTTACAGTACTGCTTGCGTATATGTTAACTGCGCAGACGAATTACGTACGCTCAGACTCAGGGTAGTCAGACGCGCATATACGATTGTATTGCGCGCACGGTCGCACAGAAATGTAAACAGTTTCATTTCGCATCGCACGTGATGATTTGTTTGGTTGCGGAGCGCACTATATTACTACAATGAAAGGTCAAGTTATAGTAAATCGCAATGTCAAAGACGAAGATTCGAAGATAATAACATAAAATACTGGCCTACTCCTACTGAAAGCCCGGACATGAATCCTTTAAAGCTCCCCTGACACGAACTGAAAACATTCGCTTGCGTCGCGTTGTCAAGCCAACTAACAAGGACGAACTTGTCGCGGGCATCCATCGGTTCAGGGACTCTGGGACTGCTGCTGAGTGCTATAAATACATTAGCCACCTCCGAAAAGTTACTTCTACTGCAGTCCAACGCGAAGGAAGAGCCTAGTAACAGCTTCCTTTAATGAAAAAACGGCTCCTTTAGGAGCCACCAATTTTCCAAAAGTCCTGGATTACCGTGTTGACGGACATAAGTATCGCCGTATTGATGTTTTGTCCAATTGCACGCGTCTGCGAGTCTTATACAAACTTGAACTAAATGTATCCTGCATTTAATTTTTCCCTTCCCTTTTATGAGCAATTTGGTGAACATCGCTCGATGATTTTACAAATTTTAAAACAAGAAGTAAATCCGGTTTCCAATAAAGATATGCATATGGATAAGAACAAGGCGTAGTCGTGACAGGTAACCATACTGTAACACAACACCATTAAAATGAGCTAGTAGAACTTATATTGTATAAAAGGCGCGATGAATAAACCAGTTTTCGAGAATAGCATGGTCACCGATGATAAAGCTATGAACTAAACGTTCACGCGTGGGTTTGCATTAAGAATGCGACAACTAGTTACAAACGGACGCTTTAGCTGATTCTACCGAATTACAATACACCGAGAACGAATTCTAAAGGCCGTTGTGACGGATGTTTTTTTTATACGAAGTGACAAATTTTGATTAAAGAATTCCGTTGGAAAATGATAAATCATTCGTATATTCCTATTACGAAGTCGCAGTAGTTTGTAACAGTATATCGGGAAGGTCGGTTAGAACGGTGATTGAAACGAACGAGTTTTCTTGTCGTTGGTAGCAGTGTAGTATTTTAGTCCTGTTACATTGTAGCCAAAAAAAGCATGCAATTGCGAATTTAAAAAAATGTGCACGTCAAAAAATCGCACGTGCGCGCATAAGCTTGATACGTCTACCTCTTTAGAATATATGAGGTAATCATTTTGTTTTTCTATTCTATTATTTCTATTTTCTATTTTCTTCTTTTCGTTTTTCTATTTAGCCTATTCTTTAAAACGGTAAACCGCCAACAATAGAAAAACAAAAGGATTACCTCATATATACTAACGGGCAGACGTATCGAGCTTATGCACGCATGTGCAAATTTTTTGACGCGCACATTTTTTTAAATTGCATTTGCATGCGATTTTTGGCGCGTTTTATTCGCGTTTTTTGGTTAATGTATACACGAGCGGTACTGTAATTCTACAAGGAACTGGAAATATTTTAATAGCATTCTACTACAATTATTTTCTCTCTAAATGTGCATTATTTATTCACCTTCGATCCGCCATTTCTGAAATTTCTTGAGTAGTTCGTCTACTTCTACTTCAATGGTGGAAATAGTGGGAGGTAAACTACCTGAGAGAAGGTAGCAAAATGGTTTAAAGCATTTAACAGCATTCTTGGTTGATAGCATTATATAAGAGGAGGGGTCAGTTCATTCCATGTTTTAACATGTAATTAGTGGTGGAGATGTTTTGCAAGTTGCATGCAGAACTTAGATATTTGAGGGAAGGTAATATAATTAGGAGTCCTATATGACAAACTAAAACCTTTCAGCTTGTTACTTAGAAAAACAAGCCTAAAATACTAGTGCAACCATTTCCTTGCATCACTTTCCATATTTCTTTTGCCCTGTTCAACGGAGCCAATACACATGTTTTACTCACCTTTATCTCTTTGTCGCTCAAGTTCTGTGAGTAGTTCTTTTAGTTTTTCTTCAAGTTCAGAGGTTAAGAGTGCAGGGTAGAAAAAAGTATCTGAAAGGAAAGGTAAACAGAAGGATACACTGTATTTAGCATTCTGTGCCTTATTTCACATAAATGATTAAAAAACAGGCATTTAACTAGCACTGTACATTGTGTTGGGGTCATGTGATAGCACAGTTATAGTGTCAGTTTTCTGATTAATCTCCTATGGTCATAGTTGAAATCAACCATTTAGAAAAATTGTCTCATCATAATAAGCCACAGCCAACTTAATACTCCCTTTCACCACAGCACAGAATTAGCAAAAACTAAATTAAGAAAAATTTCATATAAAAGCTAACACTTTACGTAATAGCCAAAAGTATAAAGGAAGAGGGATCATCTTTACCTGGGAATAGTTTCCCTTGAAAATAAATGAATTGAATAAAGAGTGGAAGTATTCATCAATAGTAATAAAATCAGACTACAGGTTCTTTTAAATAAGGAATAATTTCCCTTGAAAAATGATATTTTGATACAGGGGTGAAAGCCTTTAATAGCAAGCTTGGATTTATTTCTCTCTGATAATGAATCAATAAACATTTTATATTCACCTTCCATTCTGAGCCTCTGAAGCTGATCGCTTAGTTCAGCTGGTAATACCTCAAGATAATATGTCGAAAATTTAAGGACAGGAAAACTTCCTGAGAGCAAAGGTACACAGAAATATATTTAGCACTTAGTGCCTCACCTGATATAAAAATTTAAAGCATAATAACATGTGTAGAGGTCAAGGGAGAGAACAATGAAATAGCTATCTTTAAGTAATTCTTCAATATCACATGCCACAGTTAATCTAATGCTACCTTTTACTGAAATTATGGATTTAGAGGCAAACCTGAATTGAAAATATGTTCCTAACCAAAACTAAGTTGCTGAATAATAGCTGAGAACATTTAACAGTATTTATGGATGAAAGTAAAGACAGAAAAAGGTTAATATCTCATGTAATAGTATAGTTTGATTGTCCAGGTGAGTGCAGTCCTGAGAAGGACTGTTTTTGGTAATGGTGAACTGACGTTTCGACAACCTGAGCGGAAGTCATCATCAGAGTCAAGTGAAAGGTTGTTGTCAGTCGAATGTACTTAGTCCGGTTTGTGTAAACTGATTGGTCAGTTTTGCCATGATGTTATTGGCTGTACAACTCAAGTGGCGTAGGTCAGTCGTGATTGGTTGGTTTGGATCTGTTAGTGAAGGTGGACATTACGCAAAGTAGAGCACATCTGATTAAGTGATTGGACGAAAGAGTTTACTTATGTTTGTTTGTTTCCACCCAGTCGTTGAAAGTAGTTGGTGCTGTAGTTTAGGCACTGCACAGAGTCCCAGTCAATAGTGTGGTTCATAAGTCGGTGATGTTCAGCGATGTGATTGTTGACATCGCCTTTCCTCAAACAAAAACTGGACTAAGTACATTCGACTGACAACAACCTTTCACTTGACTCTGATGATGACTTCTGCTCAAGTTGTCAAAACGTCAGTCACCATTACTGACAACAGTCCTTCTCAGGACTACACTCACCTGGACAATCAAACTACACTATTACATGTTACCCCTAGGTTCAAACCATTTACTGTGTTAATATCTCAGATAAGGAATCATTTCTCTTAAAAGTATTTACTGGAAAAAAATATCAAAACATTTAATGCCATTGAGCTATTTACATGGCTAAAAATATTTAATCATCACGGTGATGATTACCTAGTGTTGAAAATGTTTGAATTTACTTTTTCAAAAGTAAAAGTAGATTGCTTGTATTTGAACAAAGATGCTTTACAACCGAAAAAAGAAAACTGTTGAAAAAGTATTCAGTCTACATGTGTATTATGTTTTATTCATTTCGATTTCAAAAGATGACTAAAAACCGCATTCAGGTTCTTGTATTCATTTCTCCTTTTTTTTCCTGAAGTTTCTTAGCTTCACTCCTACAACTTTTTTTTGGACAATTTACGCATCTATGAATTGTTCCACTTCTTCAATATCATTTGCATCAAAACAACAAGTCAGTGATTTGCTATGTTGTTTTCCTATTTTGGGACCATGATGGGGGAACTGGACCCAAAATGGAACCCATGCTAGACTTCAATGAGTCAGCAAAAAACAACTGAAAGTAGTAAACTCCACATCTCTTTATTCATTTCAAGGTGGTTTGATATCAGTTTAAAGAGTATATCACCTAAATCAACCTAAAAGTGGGTTTTTTCCCCCAATAACAAAGGGAAAAACTCAACCAACATAAAGAACCCTAAACAGTCAAAAACTTTCAATAAAATACAACTTTGCACTTGGATTAATAGCTGAGCACCATGTTTCAATTACATTAACTTTAAAAATAAGTTCACCTTTCCTTCCCCAAGGTTCTTCTAGTTCTTTTCCATGACCAGTGGTGGATACTACAGTGAGAGGTGAAGTACCTGAGGGTAAAAATGCAGCCTCTCTTCAAATGTTTTATTCTCATTAGTGGAACTGTGTACAATTAGATTAATTTATTTATGCCACATCATTGCATTGAGCTAATTCTTCGAACATGTGTCACATAATTTTTATCACTGTTCACAACAGCTTTCCATATTAACTTAATTAAATTAATACAAGTTTTTTTAATTTCCTTTTCACCTTCCAATTTCACTGTCTCCATAATCTTTGTCTTCTGTTCACTTTTTTCTCCTTTCCCTTGCCATGGTTCTTCTAGTTCTTTTCCATGACCAGTGGTAGATACTACAGTGAGAGGTGAAGTACCTACGGGTAAAAATGCGGAGAGAGATTAGCATTCACAGCCTCTCTTCAGATGTTTTGTCGAAATAAGTAGAAATGTGTACAATTATATTAATTTATTGATGCCCCATTATTATCACATAATTGTTATTACTGTTCACAAAAGCTTTCCATAATAAATTAAGACAAGTTTTTAATTTACTTTTCACCTTCCAATTTCACTGCCTCCATAATCTTTGTCTTCTGTTCACTTTTTTCCCATTGTTCTTTTTTTTGTGGACTTTCACTGCTTGAACTTGTGGAGTGGAATTCAGAGGATAAAGCATCTAAAATCAGATTTACAAGAGGAAAAACATTTTAAACCATAAACATACCTCAAACTATTTTTAAAAACACCCAACACAAAAATTATTGGAAATTTTCTTTCATAGCCTCTCCAACAAGAGCCTTGCCAATTAATCTTTGATAAATGTTTGTAATTTAATTAACTAAGGAAAGACAAATACAGCCCTATGGAAAGGAAAATATTGAGCCAGATGTCTAAATAGAAAAGATAACAGGTTACTGGGGAGAGATGTTTAAGAAGAACAAAACATCAAGTGAAATGTCTCGAAAACAAATTACTTCTTATATCGGCATAGTTTACATACTGTGGTCAGCAAGAGTTCATTCATGAGACAAGTTTAATCAATCTTGGGAAAAAACTGGACCATCCCTTAATGACATGTACCTTACCATACTTCATGTTGAAAGGCTGATGGATTTCATCCAAAACCCTTTACAAATATTTTATAAGATGTTTGGTCTCATCACACAACACCCTCTATTCCCTGTTTGAGAGAGCGCATTGCATGACGAGACTAAATAACAGTTGCGAAAGAGACCACACTTACTGCCGTTCCTCTAACAGAGAGAAAATTAAAATTATTCATCTACAGTTAGTGGCTCCAAAAATAGAATTCCACCCAATTTTACTGCAGAAAGCAAACTGAAACTCTGTTGTATCTCCAATAGAACCTAACCAAAGATATATTGCAATCTTGAATAAGTGAAGAGACACTGAACAAGAGAAAAGGATAATATTTCAAAGAGGGCTCATTGATTGGTTGTTGCCCATCTGGACTTTGCCCTCTGTGTGGAAATATGTGTTAAAATGCAGGTTGTTTACAAGGAATTAACATGTGACATAGGAGAATTGCATGAAAAGTTCACTATCAGTTGCAGTTAGTTCCATGTGAATTTTTTTCAATGGAGTTGGAAAATGCAGTTGGAATATATGATAAAATGCAGGTTGTTTACAAGGAAATGACAAGTGATATAGTTAAAAATTATACTTCAAATCCACTTGAATCAATAATATCACATTAAACTTCAAATATATTGGATGATAGGCTGCTTGTAGGTCCTCATTATTAGAGGGCTTCTACACTAGTGCTCCTTCAAAGCAAATAGCACAGTCAGCAATCATCCAATTTAATAGTAAAAATGCAGTACACAAATTGTTATTACTGTAAACAACAATGGCCATTACCACCAACTTATAGCCTTGGATTACCAGTTTTCCTAAATGTAAACTTGTAACATTTCATATGACTACTGCCCTATAGTATTTAGAAACAACTGCTAACCTGTAAATTTAATATTTAACACAGAACATGTAAGCTTTGTCATTATTTCAAATTTGATCAAAACTTCTGCATCCTTGATGCAAGATAAGAAAACTTACCAAATGCAAGACTGTACATCTTTTCAACAAGGGAATTACAGGGCTTCTCCCAGCTGAACTGCTGCAAATAGTTTTCACGAAGAATCCTAGCCTCTGCGAGTCGTACATTGCTTTCTTTGTAACGCACAGCCTTAATTGCTCTGGCCCAGTCTGCAGGATCCTCTGAATCCACTATACACTGTGACCCATTAGGCACCTTCCTTAAGGCTTCTGCAATTCCTGAGTTACCACTGACAAGTACTGGAAGACCAGCAGATATGGCCTCTAGAGCGCTCAACCCAAATCCCTCAGTTTTTGAGGGCAATATAGCAATATCCACAGCAGATAATAAGTTGGCTAATGTTTCCCTGTTTTCATCAAAGCTGCAGATCATTAGCTGATTACAATCAATACCACACTGAAGTAACTTGTTTGCTAATTCATCTTCTTTTCCTCTCTGTTTGGAAGCAAACTTGAGTTGGTAAGATTTATCCTTTAGCTCAGCAATAGCTTTCACTGCAATGTCGTACCCTTTGACATAAAAATCTTCACTATCACCACTCTCAGTAACTAAGACACAAAATCTTCTTCTTTCCTCGCTTGCGTGCTGCACACCTGAAAATTCAGTGAAAATGCTTGGCGTCAGGTTAAAAACGTCTTGTTTTCTGAGTTGGCGCTCATATGCATCAGTTAGCTTGGGTCCAATTGTTACAACTTGATCAGCCATTTCACATAGTTCTATTTCTGTTTGCTGCATTTGTTGACCTTCAGAAATGCTTTTGTGCATGCCAATTTCTTCAGGGGCAGTATGGACAACTTGAATCCATTTGCAATGACTGTAATTTGGATTTTTCTTTATGAGTGGAATTAGCCGACCAAGAGCTACTCCATGCCCTAGAACACAATCCATAGCATGGCCATCAGGTACAGAGGCTAGCCAAAGAACTGGTTTTAAGCCAGGCAGTTTAACTGCTTCAATGAGTTTAACATTGTAGCTATCAGCATCTTTCTTGTCCTCTTCACTACACTGAGGTACAAAGACACTGACTTCCACATTGGGATGTTTAGCCATCTGTATTGCTAGCTCTCTGTTGATGGTTGTCAAGTCTCCATTGCTTGAAGCTTTCCATTCAGTACTCAAAAGGGTTACTCTCAGTTTTCTTTCCCCAGTGTCATCCTGTAAACACAAGATTCTTGTGATTTAGGAAATTCAATTAGAGTTATAGAAATAATAAAACTCACTTATGAATGTTTTTTTTTGAAAGGCACTTAATTCTTAATTTTCAATTCATTTAGTAACTTCACAAACTCAATAAACTTATAAACAAAAGTTGCACAAAATTTCCATGAGACAGTAAAGAACAATTGTTGTGGATATCAGAGTTAGTGTGATACAACTGTGTAATCTCATACTTTAAGGAGTGACCTGCATCTGTAACTTTTTTATATCACACAAAAAATGTTATACACAAGTTTTTCCTCTTCAGATATTCAGACTTTGGTTTTGCATGACAAGGCAAACTTTAAATAATCCAACTCTAACCAACTTATATGATCATTTATTACCTAAAAAAATGCGAAACATGAGACCTAGAACATATTTTTTCTCAGCTTTGATCATCCAAGAAGAAAAACTTGCTATAATCGTCTTTGCGGACTTTTAATCTTAAACTGATGTGAACTTATTTTACTCTCCTGTGATTTTTTTTCCACATTGATCTCCTGCTCGCTAAATACCAGTAATACTGCTATATAATCATAAGTTTCATATCTGCAAGAATGTAATTTGTTCCTGAAGTGAGAGAGTTGGCAGGGATGCACTAATAAAAGTGAAGTTTCTATAAATGAAATTACACCAGAGTGAACGAAACAACTTGGCTGCAGCAGCAGTTGTTTGATATCCTACCTTTAATTGTCCCGACATCACAAGAACATTTAATGTTCAACAGGAAGTTACTAAAATAAAAATTAAAAAAACGAATTACTCTCATTACTTACTCACAAAATATATCTTAAATTACTAACTGTAGATTACCGTTATTAAATGACAACTGGAAATTACTGCTGCTGGCATATCATGGTACAGAGTAATCAAATCGCCTTTTAGATCAAGTGAAATTTAGTTGACAAAATATATCCATGAAAAATTTTCCTCCTTCTGATAAGCAAAGAAAAATAAAGTTTTCAGGTAACAACGCAGAGAGGAGGTACTTCAGTACTTAAGAGAGGTTATTATTAAAAGTGCTAAAAATTTGACAAATTGTTTAGCGCTTACATGCAGGATTTGAATAAATTATTCTACATGCGATTCCTGTTATTAATTTGAAAAAAGAACATATCATAGTTTTCTCGTGAATACCAGTTATCAATATGTAATCAAAAGAATTTTGTCATGAAATCTGGAATAATGTAATCAAATTTAGAACAACTTTTGTCATGAAATCTGACGTTTCGAGCGTTAGCCCTTCGTCAGAGCGGTCAGCTTTTTTACCCTTTAATAATGACGCAGCACCACAGTTTCTCTAGAAACCTACCCCTTTATTCACTCCTAAATTTTGTTAGGCTACCACAAAATTTTTTGCGAGGGACATCCGGGAAGACCTTAGCCTTAAAGAGCAAGACAGTGTCACTCGATTTGTAATTATGATTCGGTTCATTACTCATCTTAGAAACGACGTTTGAAAATAGACGTGATGAGTTGCTTTCAGGTATTTACCAAAATTTTTCATTTCAGTTAGGATTCTAAGCATCATGCATCAAAACTTAACATGAGTTGGCTTACCAAGTCTTTGTTGATATGTTACTGAAGTGAAGGTCCTGTATCTACTCCCTTCAGTGTCAGTCTGGAGCTACAGTTCGCTGATGATCTGAAATCACTTCATAGGAGCTGAAGCTATAACTTATAGAAAAATAAACTGGTGAAACACCTCGCTAAACATTTTAGTATTAGCAGTATTCTACGTCGATTATCACTTCGGTTTAATGAATTATTTTAATTGGTTCATTTACTATCACGTGACAGCATTGCGAGCAAGAAAGACCCTCCCTCTGGTCCGGTTATAAGATGTGACTATTACACCACACTGCTTGTTTTGTAGCCTGTAACGTAAGGTACGCTGCTGTTGGTTGAATAAAGGCTCGTTTATCAAAGTGGGTTAGGTAGGAAATCAGTGGAAGAATTCTTGTGACTGGAAGGGAGCAGTGGTTGTATTGTTTGACATCTTGTGGCCGCTGGATGAGGTTGCGTACGAGCAAATGGAGTGTTTACATGTAGACTTAACCGGGAAATTATATAATTTACCCTGGATTATTTTACCAAAACAGCTCCATTCGGATCTTTCCTTTGTACTACGCACAGACGAAAATATTAGATTTTACTATGGGGAAAATACATGGAAGTTATTTCAATTTGCTGTGTCAGACACCCGGTAGAGGGAAGTGTTTTCTTAAAATTGGACACCCGACATTCTAGAATTCTTATATAATTTCCACTTTTCATGCAAAGGATAATGCGATATCCTGGGTTCAAGTTAATTTTTTTTAATATAATGATAGCTTTAACTCTTATTTTATGTCATAAGATTCATATTTATGTTTAGGGGGATAGAACAAGTAAAGAGGATGTTAGAAAGATATTTACTAGTCATCAGATTGATGTGGTTTTTCATAGTGCATCATATGAAATGTCCGGAAAAGAGCAAGTTAGTATGTTGTACTTATTGAGTGAATGGTAGGGCCTGATAAAAACATTTGACTCTAGTTTGTGGATTCAAAAATGTACAGCATTCTGATTCTGTGCTTGTTCCAAATTTCATGACTGAGAGTGTTAAACTGAATGAATGTTTCCCATTCTGGGCCACCCTTACTCAGTTAAAACTGATTTGTTTTAGACTGAAATCCTGTCCAATCAATGTACCAATGCTGCTTTATGCTCTGAAGAAGAAGAAGAAAGACTTTATTTATTGAGGATAGCACGTGATAGTGCACAAACACTAATAAACTTGTGGTCCTCAACTTGTGGAGCTCTCTGCTCCAGAAACTGGAATAAGTGGCTACATGATGGTTCATGTAGCCTAACACATTTCAATCGCAAAATTACTTTAGTATATAATCCCTTAGGTATCTGTGCATGTGTTATTTGTAATCAAGCAAGCAAGCAAGCAACAAAAGTTATTTGTAGCTTCTAAGAAAGTTTTATTTTCCATTCCACCCAGACCATTGACAATTTTGTTTGTTTCTTTATTTCATCCGTGTTTGTAATATTTTGTTTGTAATATGTTATAGTCTGGTGTGTTATTTACATAGGATATATACATTAAATATACTGTCTGGTCCCAAAACAAGCCTCTGTCTGTTGTGGTGTTTAATTGTTTAGTAAAAGCTGTTTTTGTTTGTTGACCTCTTGTTCAATCTCCAGTAGAGGACTGTTGTCTGTGGAAGTAAATGAACCAGATACTTTTTTTTCACAACCCAAGTGGAAGTTATACTCTGATCATTTGCCTCTGACAATGAATTCCACTTGCATTGTCTAGACACCATCCGGTCAATTTGCTGAAGACTATCCTCTGCAGAGGTAGACATTGAGTATTTTGTCATTAAAATTCTGTAACAGTTTATTATTCACAATTTTTTTGTCATAATATTGTAGTTTTTGACATTGATGCTTTTCGAACCTTCTGTGTTAGCAAAGCTGTGTGTCTAACAAATGTTTTAATGTGGGATTGGTTTTTTTTAATTAACTGAAGGCAACATCTTTTACCTAGAATTATAATTTTACCTCAAGTATTAGATACTAGCTGTGTTTATATCCTTAATTGATGAATATGCAATTTTACTCATTAGAAACACAGTAGAGTTTGAAATAACACTAATTAATTAAGCTTGAACCAATCAGCAGGGATTTTTTTTATTTTACTCAGTTTGGATGTGGACAATTTTTTACCCATTTTGGTGAATGAATTAAAAAAACAGGTAACTTTGATGGCTGCAGCCAGCCAGTGTTTGTTAATGTTAGCAAGAAATTGATAGAGTTAATTAACTGTGATATTTCTGTGAAACTCAGAAAATTGCATGTAAACACCACAAATATTCATATATCATCCTATTTGACCTCTCAAAAGCTTTTGATAGCATTCAACATCAAAAGCTGCTTCTTAAACTCTCCAAAGTAGGAGTATCACCTTCAACTGTTAATTGGTTCAAGAGCTATCTATCAGGGCGCTCTCAATTTTTTCAAATTGATTCCACTCTTTCGGACCCCCTGCCAATAACACATGGAGTCCCACAAGGCACAATCATTTCACCACTGCTTTTCTGCATCTACCTCAATGATCTGCCCTCAGCTTCTAGTACATACATACATACATACTTTATTTAAGCTCGAAATTCAGTGTAGCTGTAGAGCTAATATCTTCGAGAAAAAAAAAAGCTAAAATGAAATAAAAATATGCTATCTTACAATTTCAATATTATTTATAAACTATATACAACTAAAAGCTAAGAGAGAAAACTAAGAGGTAAACATAACTTGTAGATCTACTATGGAAAAGCTTCATATCTGAGGATCTGCTTGAATTCTAGAAAATTTAATGTTCTGTAAGTGTCTGGGGGAGAGTTCCAAAATATTTTGCTAGCTAAGTATGAAAAAGAGTGCAGACCATATGTCGTTGTTTTTGGGTTGGGAAGGGACATGATATGATTTCCGCGCAAATTGTAAGATGAAGACTGTACCATGAACATATCTTTTAAATAACCTGGATAATTCGTAAAGAATAGACTCTTATATACTCTTGTACTTGCAGCCTGGAGTCATATGTGGACAACTTCCAAGTATTACTGTCATTCCCACCGGCAGAAGTTGATTCGGCTATTGAGAAGCTTGAACAAGACCTGCTCAATGTGGTCTGATGGTGCCATGCAAACAACTTACCGATAAATCCAAGTAAGACCAAGCTCCTCTATATCGGAACTAGTCAGTGGATGAGTAGGATACCAGGAGTTCCCTAAGTGTCCTTCATTGGTTGGATACTACAACCAGCTACTTCAGCCAAGGACCTGTAGTCATTCTGGGCCCCCACTTAACTTACGATCACCACATCACACGTGTGGTCTCGTCCTGCTTTTCTAAACTATATCAGATAAATTGGGTAAAGAAGAACTTTAACAAAGAAACTTTAAAATTACCTAATAGCATCAGTCTTTAGTAAAATGTTATGTTGTTCCACTGTGTGGTCAAACACATCAGCTGGAAATATCAGTAACCTACAGTCAGTCCAAAACTTTGCCAGCAAGATAGATTATGAACTCTAAGAAATTTGACCATGTAACTCCTTTGCTTCACCAATTGAACTGGCTACCTGTAAAGCAACTACTACTGTATAAGGACACGGTAACGACATACAAATGTCGGAATGACCTCGCTCCACAATACCAGAGTGATAAGTTCATTGAGTGCTCTTGTATTCATGCTCATTACACGCACAAAGGGACTCACTTCAGATACCAATTTGTAAAACTGCCTCAGGCCAAAGTACTTTTACCTATAGAGCAACTAGCTTATGGAACAGTTTGGACAATGACTCTGAGAATTGTACCTCCTTGAAATCTTTTAGGATTGCCATGAGGAAGTACCTCCACACAGTATATTAGCATGAACCTTTAGAGCTTGTTTAGTTATAAGTAATTACTATATTAATTTTTATTATTATTATTAATATTATTATATATCTTTATACAATTTTTAAATATATTTTGGGAAACCTTTCAAGGAACATCCATAAAAGGTTAATTTAATTCAACATATTTTTGTGTGTCACAAAAAATCCCAATGAGGTGTCAGGAAACAAAAATTAAATTCCAAAAAACAATTATGGTTATTAGTTTTTGATTTTGAGGGTTACTTGTATGAGCAAATTTGAAAGTGGTTGGCAGGTGCAGAACTGACTTGATAGGATCTAATTAAATTGGTTCTCAGTAACAATAATGATTGTGGCTTGCATTGGGAGATAAGAAATCCCAGGGCAACATGCTTCACTAAAAATTTTTAATGAGGTAGAATATTCACCACATAAATTGATATTTCTTTTTTATTTGCACTGTCACCAACAAAATTTATGGTGCCTTTAATTACTATTTTTTTAGAACAATGACAGTAGTAACATTATCAATATCACAGCCTTACTTCAACACAACATCTGAGTATTCTCCATTCAGGGGACACCCTGGGACCGGGGCAAGTGTTCCCTAAATAAAGTTTAAGGTTTGTCAATGATTAACCCCCCAAAAAAAGCATTGTCTGAATTCTCATCAAGAATTGTCATCAAGTCTAAGTCATCAAACCATGTGCCATATTAGAAAGGTCATATTGTGAAAGCTGTCATCATTGTGGTTAGGGTATACTTAATCTTTGGGGTCAGTCACATTTTGAGTGGTCAAAATGGACATTACAACCAGGCTTCGGAACCCAAAAAAGTGTTCTGATCCCCTGAATAGAGGAGTCCCTTCCATAGAGGTAATGGATACAAAGATATGATTGAACATTTTCCTGAGACCAAGTTTGTGTTCACTGAATAGGGGTCTCCCAAATAATCTAAACAATGAAAATATAACGAAGAGATCAAGTACGCAATCCAGGGGACACCCTGAGACCAGGGCAAGTGTCCCCTAAGTAAAGTTTAGGGTTTGTTCATAATTAACCCCCCTAAAAAAGCATTGTCTGAACTGTCATCCTTTGGCAAAAAAATTTATATCATCAAACCATGTGTTAGAAAGGTCATATTGTGAAAGCTGCTCATTGTGATTAGTGTACACTTAATATTTGGGGTCAGTCACATTTTGAGTGGTCAAAATGGGCGTTACAACCAGGCTTAGGAACCCAAAAAAGCATCCTGATCCCCTGAATAGAGGAGTCCCTTCCATAGAGGTAACGGATACAAAGATATGATTGAACATTTTTCTGAGACCAAAGTTTGTGTTCCCTGAATAGGGGTCTCCCAAATAATATAACTAACATAGTGAAATATAATGAAGAGATCAAGTATGCAATCCAATTTCCATTACTCAGGTCTGAGTATCATGCAATTTTCCTCATGGTCTACAATTCCTTACTTCTATTTGGCACTGAGGACTTGGTGTTAAATCAACAGTGTATCGCCCAGTAGATATTTTCCTTTCGTCCCACTATCTTTTTGCATGAAAAAGTATCAATCTTGTAAGGAGAAATTCCTGTTTGGTCAATTTGGGAAATGAAAGGATTGTAATTATAAGTACTCATGTGAGGAAGCATTTTAAATTAATTTTTGTCTCAATTTATGCTGGAAGTGTGAAAGCTGCAATTGGTAAGTTCATGCGATCACATTATTGTGAATATTTGTGTCAATAAATGAAGAACCTTTTTCATACTACTCAAATATTGTTAATGCGGTCATTCATGCCTGTATTCTCTGTGTGACGTGTCAGCAAATCTTTTCAGCAGAGTTTCTATCCTCCCTACTTCACTTAATGTAATGCAACTATTTGATGTATGCTGTGGTATGAGATTCTGCTTGTACCAAACTTTTATTCTGGTGTTTTCTAAGATGCCTCCGGTACCATGCCATTGTTTTTGTTAAATGAAGCAGAGATGGGAGAACAAGAGTAACATATCCAATTTGATCTTAGAAGCTATTCTGATCTCTTGATGAGACCAGATTTGTTTATGTAATGCGCCAACAGTTTTTGTAGCTGAATCAATTCTTCTCTCAACTTTGGGATTTGATGAATTGATGATGATGACATGCTCAAGTATGTAACAGAATTGTTGCTTTTTGCTTTTCTCTATTAATTAATATGTCAGGTGAACAAAAGACCCTGGGAGTTAGACTAGTCAGACTAGTTAGACTAGTGTTAAGATTGCAAAAGAAGGCGATGGCAAATTTAACAAACAACCTTGAAATACTCTAATTTGGTACAGGAAATTGATAGGACAAAGAGTTTTGCGCAGGTATCAAACACAATGAAGTTAAAAATCTCCTGTTGGAATTAAATGCCTATAAAAGCTGCAGCCCTGACAACATTCATCCAAGAATCTTAAAATGTTGTAGTAACTTACTATCCTCGCCCCTACGCACTTTGTTTAATAATTTATTCAAAATTGGCATAATTCCGAAGGCCGGGAATATAGCTGCTTATTTGTTCATTTGTTTTTGACACAGCTCAGAGTTATTCCGCTTTATGTGAAAAGTGCCAAAATCAGAGTGGAGAGCTACAGACTTGTTTCCCTAGCTTCTGTTGTCAGTAAATTTGCGAGAAGATTAAAAGGAAGTCCAAGGCTAAGTCCAGGCAGTTGGTTTTATGGAAGAGCGTTCCTGCCTACCAAAACTTTACTTGACTCTTTCCCACGATAAAACAGATACGTGTGTTCTTGCTCGTGTTTCCTTCACTAAGGCTCTATTGCCAGCTAGATTCAGTAAAAGCTAGGATCGAAAAATTATAACAGCATTTATTAAATTCAACTGCAGTCCTTACACATATTCAATGTCCTTGGTTAATATACTTCGCAGTTTAGTGTGGTCCTTTAAAAAACATCAAATATATATTAAAATATGATTTCTACCGAGAGTTGAGAATTTTGGAACAATAACTTGCACATTATCAATTAGATTACATTACATTCTGAACTATTAGAGTAAATTGAAAAAGAGATTGTATATTATAAGGACTACGTAAGCCGTAAAACAATTTCCTATCATTAGTATGTAATTTTAGAGTAATACATAAATCTGCACTCCATAAAATCATCAGCTAGAATGAAAAAAAATTACGAGTTAGAGTACAAGCTTTGCACAAATGACTTACTAGGTAAAGTCCAAATAAACTCATTTGAACGAGTGTACAATTGGTTGTACAACGCCTACATTTGGCTTCGAAAACGGACAAGGCAGAACAAAACATTCCTTATTGTCCAAGTGTATTTCGATTAAGCTAAACATTATACTCTTGGAGTCTACCAACTAAAAATTGAAAGCCTATGAAAATTGAGAAAATATGTTATTACTTTATTTGTACGTCACAAGTTCATGTAGACCTTTTAAAAGTTTTCTCTTAGAAGACAACGATATTCATTACTTAGGTTATAAAAAAATAATTCAATATCGAGAAAGATGTTTTTTTTTCGTCTTGTCACGAGCGTGGGACGAAGAAAAAATTCTGAGTCCCCACGAGGAATCGAACCTCTGACCTTTGGATTCCGCGGTTCGATGCTTTACCTCTGAGCCACAGAGACTATTACGAAGTTGATATGACATGCATTCTGTATACTGCTAGGATCAGCAATATCGATAGGGTAATGTTTGTAGATAGAAATAAGAGAGATGGTTAGTTTTGAGCTCGGTAAAGACCGTGGAGTCTCTGTGACTCAGTGGTAGAGCATCGAAGCGCCGAATCCGAAGGTCTGAAGTTCCGTTCCTCATGGGGACTCAGATTCTATTCTTTATCTCACGCTCGTGACAAGACAAAAACATATTTTTCTATTTCTTTACCGAGCTTAAAACTTACCATCTCTCCTATTTCTATCTACAAACATTACGCTATCGACGTTGCAGAATCTCGCAGTATGCAGGACGCGTCTTATATGAACTTCGTAGTAGACCTCACGCATTGTGGAGTCTCTGTGGCTCAGTGGTAGAGCATCAGAGTGCGGAATCCGAAGGTCTGAGGTAAGATTCCTCATGGTGACTCAAAATTTTTCCTATGTCCCTCGTTCGTGACAAGACGAAGAAAATATCTTTCTCTATTTCTTCACCGGGCTCAAAACTTATCATCTCTCTTATTGCAATATTTTTGGCATCTTATTGCAGCTAAATCACCAGTATAACCTATTGTCTGTAGTTTAAAATTTGTTGTCACAAAAGTAACAACATTATTGCCAACAGACCCGTTATACGAAATTGCAGTTGCATTTATAGTCTATTTTTTTTAACAGAGAGAAATTCGTCTACCGAATAATGAACGTTGAATAATCGTTTGTGTCATGATAGCGAGTCATTTCTCGATTCTTGATCGCAATGTTTCGACTGCCTCACTGCTGATCAATTTTACTACTCCGTTCAACAAGTGATAGTGACTAGCAGGTCAGCTATCTAATTAATCACCTTGAACAATAATCTTCAAGTTGTCATTCATAAAAATGGAATTTATTTCATGACAAGCGAAACGTAACAGGAGGAACCTGTCAGGGCTTTGTGCCACTGACCTGTTCCTTGGTCTACTTTTTAGTTGAACGGAAAAGTCGTAGAGCCCCTTTATCTTCCCAGTCAGTACCAGTTAACATTTGAGACAAATATTTTTTTCCATCATCTGTTACATACCGATTTCCCTGGAGGTTTAAGCTCCGTAGTTTGCATTTGGTATCAGTCAAGGCCTTACACAGGTGCTTGATTCCTTCATCTCCAAATTCATTGCCGCCTATGTCTAAGCTTGTTAATGTACAGAATCCGTTGGTTAAGACTTCAGACAATTCTTTGATTCCTCCATCTCCTAGTCTATTAAAACCGACTTTTAATTTGGTTAAAGCACAGTTACTGCTGGTCAGTGCATCACACAAGTGTTTCAGTCCGTTGTCTCCCAACTGATTTTCATTGACGTTTAAACTTGTTAATCTGCAATTAACGCTGGTTAGCGCGTTACACAAGTGCATTCCTCCATTGTCTCCCCACTTATTGCAACTGACGTTTAAACTTGTTAATCTGCAGTTAACGCTGGCTAGCGCGTTACACAATTGCATTATTCCTACGTCTCCCAAATCATTGTAACTGACGTCTAAGTTTGTTAATCTGCAGTTTACGCTGGTTAGCGCGGTACACAGGTGTTCTAATCCTTGATTTTGTAAACCAATGTCATACAGTGTCAAGCTGTAAAGTTCACCCTGAGTAAGCGCTGTACTTAAGTTCTTCAAACCTTCATCAGATATCCGACTGTACGCGAGAATTAATCTGGTTACTTTCCAGTCCCTGTTGGTGATCGCTTTACACAGTGCTACCAAACCAGGGTCGAACTCTGTTGGCCACGCCTTCAATATGCCTGACTTCGAACTGTATATCACTTCAATAAACACCTCCTCGTCCTCGTCCTTATTATAAATTTCATGATGGCTGCCCCATGGTGGTTCATGTATAGAGAGCTCATCCGTAAACAGCAGCACCACCTGCCATGCACCTTCTCTGATGTGAATAGTAAGGAATGTTTTCAATTCGTCTTTATCCATTGCTACTCGTAGTTCCTCTAAGGCACGAGGTGGTTGAAGTACTAAAGGATTAAAACAAAAGAAATATTAATTTTTACTTGAAAACATTACCGCGAAAAAAACTACCTTTACATTGTTTTAGTCTAAAAACTGACAAAGCACAGAAAACACCTAGGCAAATTGGACACAAAAATAATTTCGAGTCTCCGTGTTCGACTTATTGCTGAATCATCCCATGTCAAAGGAAACCAGTTGGGAAAACAAGGAGACGGACAGTATGAACAACAAAAAATGTCGTGCGATACCAAAAACATTAAACCAAACCTTTTTTCTTTTTCTTTTCCAAGAAGTCTTAAAATGTCAGCAAATCCTTTGCGAAGTTGTAAATCGTTGTCATAAAGTTTTATTCCAATATTATCTTTTCCCTCGCTAATAATCTAAAACTCTTGGAGTCGAAAATGCCCGCGAGAGAAGTTGTTGTTGTTGTTTTTTTTTCCAAATGTGGTTTTAAATTTTCAGAACATTTTCAAGAACACAAGAGAAAAAAAATTGTTTTCACTTTGCAAATATAACAACGAAGTATTCGTGTTGATAAATTGAAAGAGACGTCTTTTTCTTGGTAATACGATCATAAAGTACTTAGGTTACACCACATAAGCGATCAGCCTTAACATCAGAATTCTATGCACTTATGGACTGAGTAGAAGGGTCATGTTGGTCCGACCTGATCTTACTCAGTCAATCAGATTTTTATTCCATGAACGCCACTGTTCTCATTCTACTTTCTTCTCGCATGGACGCACGCTTGGCCCTGCAGCTTTAAATGCCCCTGCCAGCGCAACCGCGCACGGCCTTCATAAAGCGGTTTATTTATAATTTCTTTTTTCTTAATAAGAACGGGCATTAGACCGCGCAGGTCATTTGATGATTATATAAAGATACCAGGTCTACTGAGAATGAAAAAACCTGACACAAGATCACAAATCTGGGTTAAAAAAAATCTCTTGACTATTACACAAACCCAGTATTTCTCAATAATCTTACGACCGAATATGGATAACTGGACATATGTTTCAAAGCCAATACAAGCTTATTTTAACAATGTTAAGTACCTTGCTTGCGTAAGTGAAGTTTAGCTGACTCATCTAATAAGTAACTGACATAGTCTTGGAGTTCCTCGGGTAAACTAACATCAAACTTCGCCAGTCCTGATCTAATGGTCGGATACATGGTGTTCTCTAATGCTATCATGAAGGACACAAAAAGACAAACTATTTTAGTACTTACGGTCACATTCTCAGTTCAGAGAATTTATTAAAATGAGGCACTACTTAAAAGACAACGTAAGAGTCGATGTTGTCATTAACTGTGAAAGATCACGGACAAGCTTGGGTTCAAATTTACATTTGCCATTCAAAGATACCGCCAACATGTCTTGTCAATCATTTCTGACATGGAACATTAATGCAAACATTTCTTAACGCACGAGCTTCACAAGGGTTTCAATGGGGTGATGGCTTTTACGGCTATCAGTTAAAATTTCGGCCACATGAGGGCTAACTTCTTGTTAGGGAGTTTCAAAGAAAAATTTCCCTGGTTAACCCTTTGTAATCTAACGTTAAGGATCTTGGAATTCACATCACATCAAATCTATCACGGAGCCTGAAAACAAGGCAAACAGCGTGCTCCGATTTATAGGTCGAGCAAAGGGCCCCAGGAACCCTGAATTGTTCTCGAAATGAATGAATAGCCAGTAATCTTGTCGTGGGCTAGATCTATTAATCGTGATCACTTCAAGGTAACAATGAGTACGAAGGTCTGTTCAAATCATTTTGCACAAGGTTACAGAACTTCTGAATGTCTTACACCAACGTTGTCATGAAAGGGTACGATTGTGAGAGTAAATCTAAAAGACCTCCCCCAGAGATCCGATCTACACAGATCAAAGAGAGTCGCTCAAGGAAGAGAAAGCGAAATAGTGACGAAAGTGAAGTTCCAGTTGAGAATGAGCCCTTTGTGGAGGACGAGACTTTATTAGAAGAAAACACTGAATTAGATTATGTAGCCTCAGCATTCCCTGCAGATACTGATCATGAAGCTAGTTTTCTTGTTGAATCAGCTACACAGACAGAGTGTCTAAGTCAAGTGAAAGAGAAGTGAAAATATTTAATTGACCAGGCAACTTGTTTTAAAAACTGTTATCGTTTCACAGGTGTAACTAGGTCTAGGCTTGATTTGGTTTTTTAAGTTTTAGAACCAAAGGCCGTTGAAATACGTCTCTGGAGGGGTAATAAGAATACTAAAAAGTCATCAAAAAAACGAGTAGCTGAGACACAAAAACAGAGAAAAAATGGTGGAGTCTTGACAAGATGGGAACTACTTGTTCTTACCTTAGTGAGAACAAGAAAAGGTTTTGATGCCAAATTCCTAGCTGACACTTTTGGTATTAATTTTTCTGAAGTATCCAGAATTTACAATACATGGATAATATTTCTTTCTCAAGAGCTGCCCTTTCTGGTTCCATGGCCTTCAAGATCAGAATTACAAAAATGTCTGCCAAAAAGGTTAAAAAAATTTAAGAATGTAAGAGTTATAATTTACTGTCTTGAACTTTTCATACAAAAACCAAAAGTTCCTTCAAGCCAAAAGATCACATGGAGTAATTACAAACATTGGAACACTGCCAAATTGCTGGTAGCAATAACACCAACTGGTGATGTATCCTTCATTCCACCATTAAGGACAGGATCCATCAGTGACAAAGAAATTGTTAGGCAAAGTGGATTGCTAGACTTGCTTGAGGAGGGGGATGCAGTCATGGCTGACAAGGGTTTTGTGATTTGGGATCTCTTAACATTTAAGAAAATCCGCCTTGTCTCACCAGCCTACTGTCGAGGACCATGCCTATCAGTAAAAGGGACAACACATAGCTGTCGTGTGGCATCATTAAGAACTCACGTTGAAAGAAACATTTTGAGATTGAAGCAATTTAGAATTCTTTCAGGAGTTATTCCACTTTTGTTAAAACCAGTGTTGATAGAATTATTTTTGCTTGTGCGGCATTAACTAATTTATGTGGAAGAAACATAAAGTAAGGAGCATACTGTAGAAACAAGAACTTATATTTACTGAATTTGTTGATCTTCTTGTCTTTGGGATAACTCTTTTGTGTGAAAATTGTCATCAGGTAAGGCTTCCATAAGGAAAGAAGAAACTATTTGCTGACAGTTAAACTTGTGAACTGCTGCTACAACAGTTTCCCAAAACTTATCATTAAAAGTAGTTGTAACAATATTATATAACAACTTTATTTAAATAATAACATATAACATATTATTATTAAAAAAGGGTTATAGAAGGGAGGAACTTAATCCTCATTGTAAACTATACCCCAGATATAAAAATCTAATACTATGCAATATACATATACATACTGAAACATTCTACATACAGGCATATATCTATATAAATTTAAAATCTAAATAAAGAAGACATATCTAAGATAAATATTTTGTTTAAAATTATAATTAAATAATGTATAATACATAGAATAATTTAATTTTTAGTTATAGGCCTAGTTAAAAAATGTTGATTTAAGAGCTTTCTTAAAAGCATTAATTAAATCAAGTTCAACTTCTGATGACGGTAAACTGTTCCATGTGTCGATATGTCTGTGCCAAAAAGAGTACTTAAAGATGTCTGTACGGCAAAATGGTTTATATAGTCTAAACTGATGACTTTTTCTTGATTGCCTGTTACTGAAGGATATATAATTATTAGTGTTTACAGAAGAGTGTCCTTTAATGAACTTAAAAAGCTGAACCAAACTAAGAAACTCTCTGCGCTGAACTAGTGTCGCTAGTTTCAAGGATTTCAGCTGGTCTTCATACGGAGTGTCTTTATCAATGATCCATCTTGTAACGTACCTTTGCACGCATTCAAGTTTTTCAATCAGATATGCTTGGTGAGGATTCCACGCTTGACAAGCGTACTCGAGTATTGGACGGATCATGGATCTATAACCAGTAAATAGAGCCCTAGAGTGAGATCCAAATGTCCGCTTGAGTAAGCCCAATAATCTGTTCGATCTTGCAACAACAGACAGTACGTGGGGTTTCCAAGATAAATCACTGGAAAGAACCACCCCAAGATGTTTGTGTGTAGATACTTAGGTAAGTAGCTTGTTATTAATAGTATAGTTGCACGGAGAGGGAGTTCTAGCCCTGGTGAACTTCATGGACTTGCATTTGTCAGCATTTGTTCCTAAAAGCCACGTGCCACACCAATCAGTGACTTTATCCAGACTCTCCTGGGCAGTGATGGACGTTTGAGATGGAGGACAGTAATTATAGATTAACATATCATCAGCAAACATTTCTGCAGGACTTGATAAAGATTCAGGGATGTCATTGACGTATAGGATAAATAACAGGGGGGCAAGAATGCTCCCCTGTGGAACACCAGATGTGACAGGCGCCCAGTCAGATTGGCAGCCCTCGATTACAACACGTTGAGATCGACCTTGGAGAAAATTGGATAGCCAGGAAAGTAGAGAGCCGGTAATGCCAAAGCGTTCTAGTTTGAGTAGAAGACGGTCGTGAGGAACTGAGTCGAAGGCCTTTTCGAAGTCCAGAAATATTACATCGGTAGAGAGGCGTTTATCTAGTGCTTTGGCCCATTCATGGAAAAGGTGTATCAACTGAGAGGTACAGGAGTATCCAGGACGAAAGCCATACTGATGACTTCTAAGTAGATTATTTGATTCAATAAATCCAAAAATGCGATTGTATATCAGTCTTTCCAGGGTCTTTACAAGCAGACTCGTAAGAGAGATAGGACGATAATTCTTGACTAGATCTTTTTGGCCCTTTTTAATAAATATCCCTTTACTATTATAGGTAACAAAATCGCAAGTTTTTAAAACCTGCAACAGCCATGTCAGTCTGAACTTGGAAATAATGTAAATGATTTTTTGTCCAGAAAAACATTTCCATTTTCATCTTTTTTTCCACCAACAGTTGGTAGCAGGAAAGCAATTTTAGGGTCAAGGTCATTCCCTTTAAATGGGCATTTTATCTCTACTACCATTGGGTCACAACACTGAAATTTTCAAATACCATCTAGATTTGCTCCTATTCAAGAAGAACTGCTACTAATAAGGAGACCTGGCTCCTCAAGATCAAATGAACAGTGCTTTTTCTCATTGACTTTTGTGTAGTAAAATTTTGCATTTTCTTCTTCCTTTATACCATGTTCTATGGCTTCAGGATACACTTGGTTTTCTTTGAATTCTTTTTGTTCTGTGAAATTTTTAACAGTGAGTGATACATCAATATGAGGATCTTTTTCTAAAGTTTTTTGTCAGGTATAAAGAGATTTTATTTTTTCCCAGTAACTAAAAGGTGTCTCATCTCATGCTAGCTTTTGTTTTCGTGTTGTCCCATGGTTGCTTCGTTTATAGTCATGCTATCATTGTCTGAAAAGGTCAAGGCTTTTAGAAATTCCTCAGCTAAATTTAAAAGGTTGTCCTCTGATAGCTTATTAGAATTTGTCTTGACATAATTCTTAGCTTGGGATGATATGGTCAGGTGAGATATATTATTATCAAAATGAGAAGAACAATTTTCATTTTCATCATAATTTGGGGAAAACAGTAAAAAATCAAGAATACCGGAACAAGGATCAATTTTTCAAAGTTTCTTTGTTAAAACCAGTTTTAACTGGTTTAAATGTTTTCTGAACATTTACAAGAACAGACTCAGATGCCATTTTACTAATGTTTTAGGAATTTTTGAACTATTTTACTGTGATTTTTAATTATTTAAGGAGAAAAACTTGAAAGGGGTAACCTCTTGTTTCCTTTTTACCTTTTATTCAAAATTTGAATTGTGAATAAACAGTTATGTTATGCTATGTTAAGACTGACGGTTGAAATTCGTCAATTTTTCCGACTAAGAGGAAAATGTTTTTTTATTATGGTTAACGGTTAGCCCCATTGAGGCCCTCCTACATGTACTACAGTTCACTCATATGCATTAGTACTACATGCAGTATTGAAGCAGCAATGTGGGAATGCTAATAACCTCTGGTAGCGCGATGTGGTCATCGTAACTCTGAGGTGGCTTACACAAAGGCTCCTCAACGTTCGACATAAAAACTCAAGTTACAACCTGCATGTGTACACCTTGTTCTAAATTAGAGCACAATTTGACGCTTGCGGGGCCTTAAGACATCAAGGTTGTAAATGGATACCATTAAAAATGTCTAAGCACTCTGATAAAATGCTAGAGTTGTATCCAGGATTCACGACAATACCGCACACTTAATGCGCTTACAAATCCCGAGCACTGCAAGTGCGCACCACGAAACTACGCATAACCTGAAACAGCACCTGTAATTTTGCATATGTACCAACATTTGAAAGTTTATATGACCATGATGAACTTATCCTAAGAAGCCAGTTTCTTTTCTTTTACTCTTTTTTTTCCCAAGTGCAATGGGAGGTTGTCTCCTTACTACAAGACGGCTGATGGCTGGGTTGCCAGGATTTACCACTTGTGAAAACAGCCTCCATCTAGGTGCTGGGTGCCAGCGTAGTAACGTAACTTATATCTTACGCCTCCAATGGGCATAACAGTTGTTAATAATTACTGCAGTAAAAGACTGCATGTGCAGGAGTTCAGTGGGAAAATATACTTCGATAAAGAAGTGGAAGTGTTTAATAGCATTCTACTAAAATTGTTTTTTCTCTAAATGTGCATTATTTATTCACCTTCCATCTTGACTTTCTTAAGTTCCTGGCGTAGTCTAAATACTGTTCTAATGGTGGGAACAAGGGAATGTGAACTACCTGAGAGAAGAAGTAAACAGCAAAATGGTTTAAGGAATTTTTAAACACCATTCTTGGTTGATAACATTGCACATGAAGAGGGGTTACCTTTAATATAGAGTAAATACACATTATTCAATGCTTCAACATGTAATGAGCAGCGCAGATGCTTTGCAAGTTGCATGTAGGCAAGTTGCAAGTTGCTGAGATATTTGAGAGAAAATAATAGGAGTCCTTTATAGCAAACTCAAAGAAAGTGTTTCACCTTTCTGCTGGTTACTTAAAAAATCAAGCTTAGAATACCAGTGGAAACATTTCCTTGCATCATTTCCAGATGCAGATGCTTTGCAAGTTGCATGTAGGCAAGTTGCAAGTTGCTGAGATATTTGAGAGAAAATAATAGGAGTCCTTTATAGCAAACTCAAAGAAAGTGTTTCACCTTTCTGCTGGTTACTTAAAAAAAATCAAGCTTAGAATACCAGTGGAAACATTTCCTTGCATCATTTCCATATTTCTTTTCCCTTGTTCAACGGAGCCAATACACATGTTTCACTCACCTTTCATGCTTTTTCTGAGTGTAAGTATCCAAATAAATTGTTGAAGTTGTTGTAGTTCATCTTCAAGATCAGCAGTAAAGAGTTCAGGGGGAGGAAAAGTACCTTAAAGGAAAGGTAAACAGAGAGATACACTGTATTCAGCATTCAGTGCCTTACCTCGCATAAATGGTTAAAAACAGGCATTTAACAAACAATTCACATTGTACTAGGCTCATGTAAAGAACTGAAAGTATTAGATAACTATCTCACTTAATAATTATAAAGGAAGAGGGATCATCTTTACTAAGGAATAGTTTCCCTTGAAAATTTGTAATCTGAAGAAGGAGTGGAAGAATTCATCAGTAGTAATAAAATCAGACAACAGATTCTTTTAAATAAGGAATAATTGCCCTTGAAAAGTGATAATTCGAGACTGGGGTGAAAGCCTTTAATAGAATTCTTAGATTTATTTCTCTCTAATAATGAATCAATAAACATTTTATATTCACCTTCCATTCTGAGCCTCTGAAGCTCCATGCCTAGTTCAGTTAGTTTTTTCTCAATATCAAAGGTTGAAAATTGAATGACAGGAAACCCACCTGAGCACAGAGATACACAGAAATATATTTAGTGCTTAGTGCCTCACCTGATATAAAAAGTTAAAGCATAATAACATGTATCAAGGTCAAGTGAAAGAACAATGAAATTAGCTATCTTTAAGCATGTTTTCATTCTAACATGCCACAGCCAATTCAATACTACCTTTGACCGAATTTATGGATTTAGAGGCACACCTGAATTGAAAATATGTTACTAACCAAAACTAAGTTACTGAATAACAGCTGAGAGCATTTAACATTATTTATGGATAAAAGACAGACAAAGGTTAATATCTCATATAGGGAATAATTTCTTTTAAAAGTATTAATTACTGGAAAAAATATCAAAAAATTTAATGCCATTGAGTTATTTACATGGCTAAAATATTTAATCATCACTGACAGTGATGACTACCTTGTGTCAAAAATGTTTGATTTTTACTTTTTCAAAAGCAAAAGTAGATTGCCTTTATTTGAACAAAGATGCTTTAAACCCGAAAAAAGAAAACTGTTGAGAACAACTGAAAAAGTATTCAGTCTACATGTGTATTATGTTTTATTAATTTCTATTTTAAAAGATGACTAAAACCACATTCAGGTTCTTTTATTCATTTCTTCTTTTTTTTCCTGAAGTTTCTTAGCTTCACTCCTACAACTTTTTTGGCCAATTTATGCATCTATGGATTGTTCTACTTCTTCAATATCATTTGCATCAAAACAACAAGTCAGTGATTTGCCATGTTGTTTTCCTTTCTTTTTTTTTTTGGCCCATGTCAGAGGGGACTGAACCCAAACTGGAACCCATGCTAGACTTCAATGAATCTGCCAAAACAACTGAAAGCAGTAACACTAACATCTGATTCGTTTCAAGGTGGTTTGATGCCAGTTGAAAGAGTAAATCAACTAAATCAACTTAAAAGTAAGTTTTCCCTCAAAGAAAACCTCAACCAACATGAAGAACCTTAAATAGTCAATAACTTTCAATAGAATACAACTTTCCACCTGGATTAATAGCTAAACACAATGAGCAACATGTTTTAATTACATTAACTTGAAAAATAAGTTCAAACTGAGCATCCTGTTCACCTTTCCTTCCCCACAGTTCTTCTAGTTCTTTTCCATGACCAGTGGTGGGTATTACAGTGAGGGGTGAAGTACCTAAGGGTAAAAATTCACAGAGAGATTAGCATTCACAAACTCTCTTCAAGCGTTTTTTCCCATAGGTGGAACTGTGTACAATTATATTAATTTATTAATGCCACATTATTGCTGAAATTATTCTTCCAACATTTACTACATAATTGTTATTACTGTTCACAACAAATTTCCATAATAACTTAATTTATACAAGTTTTTAAACCTCCTTTTCACCTTCCAATCTTGCTGTCTCCATAATCTTTTTCTTCCGTTCACTTTTTTCCCATTGCTCATTTTTTTGTGGACTTTCACTGGTTGAACTTGTGGAGTGGAAGTCAGAGGATAGAGCATCTAAAATCAGATTTACAAAAAGACAAACATTTTAAACCAGAAACATACCTCACACTATTTTTAAAAACACTCAAGATGCAAAAACTAATAAAATTTTCTTTCTTAGCCCCTCCAACAAAAGTTTTGCCTGTTAACCTTTGATTAATGTATGTAATCTAATAAATTAAGGAAAGACAAATACAACCCCATAAAGAGGAAAATATCAAGCCACATGTCTTAGTAGGAAAGATAACAGGTTAACAGGTTAAATATTTTATGATAGGACCAGGCCTTGTTACATTCTTTCTACCAACCTCTAAGTGCATCTTTCACAAAGAACATTTTGCATGCATTGTACTCTTCTATGTCCATTGTTGTCTTCAGCCTCAGCTCAGCCACGTTCAGTTCCTTCAAGATCTTTTCAGTGACAAAACAATTCTGAACTACTTCACCAAGATGACCAGATGAGTAATCTGTCCACAACTCCTCCAAGATTATTAGAGATTCACACTTCACTGTTATCACCAAACTTCCTACAGCAACACCAGTAATGATGAGCCTCATTTCTTTTACATACTCCTTAAACCTATTGTGCTCTTCACTGGAACGTGGTGGTGTGGTCTGGAGATAATTTCTAACAATTGATATGAAGAGTTCCTCTTTAAGGGCCTGAAGATCTTCTGTCTGTGGATAAGACACACTTCCAGATGCAGCTGATGTTGCAGATGCCCCAGGCTGCTGAACCTCTTGCTGTCTGACAGACTCTGTTGCCAACATGCCAGTCTGCATATTCTGTTCTTCAGGTTTCAAGTCATCCACATCAACCTTAATATTCATTTCACCACCTGTTAAATTGTAACAGTCAAATTTAATCTTAATATAACAAGGTTTTTTCACCTCCTACCCTATTAACCACTGAAATGTGAGAACATTACAATGAGGCAACACCAATCAAACATAGAGCTTATTACCAATGAATAGATACCAACAACATAATTATTGATGAAATGAAAATGATTACCACATACAGTATATACATTGCTTCAGTTTCGGTTTCTTTTACATCTTTATCTCATTCCATGGTAGAATCTAAATTATCAATGATCTAAAAGACTACAGTTTCAAACATGGAAATATCTAAACAGACTTAGCTAAGAAGAAACACAGGCATGCCCAGCATGCAAGAGTTATTTTTCTTGCTGGGTGGGTTGAGATGGGACACTTTGCCTACTAATGTTTTCATTTTTGTAACACCAGAAGAGCATAACTTTCAAATGAACAAAAATACTGCATTACTTCCCACCTTGAGAGAGAGACAAAACCCTAATTTAACTGTACTCACACACAGTCAGGTATTTTATGGTCTATTTTCTCTATTGTCTAAATACTTCTTTGCAAAAATAAAAGGCAATGGTGCCATGCTTACTGTTGTCTCCTTTGCAGCTGATGTTTGGTCTCATCACACAACACCCTCTATTCTCCATTAGAGAAAAAGCATGTTGCATGACAAGACCAAATAAAAGTTGCAAAAGAGACCATGGTTACTGTCATTCTTCTAACAGAGAGAAAATCAAAGTTATTCATCTACAATAGTTAGTTGTTCCAAAAATAGAATTCCACCTAATTTTACTAAAAAAAGAAAATTGAAACTCTGTTGTATCTCCAATAAAACCTAACCAAAGATATATTGCAATCTCAAATAACTGGAAAAATAATGACCAAGAGAAAAGGATAATATTTCAAAGAGGGCTCCTTGATTGGTTGTCGCCTATCTGGATTTTGCCCTCTGGTGTGAATAAATAATAAAAAGCAGGTTGTTTACAATGAATTGACATACAATGGAGTTAAGCTCAAGGTAGCTAAAACCGAATTTCATTCAAAGAAAAATTTAAAACACAGGAGAATTGCATGGAAAGTTCACCATCAGTTGCATTTAGTTCCATGTAAATTTTTTTCAGTGAGGTTGGACCATGCGGTTGGAATATGTGATACACTGAAGGCTGTTTACAAGGAAATGACACGTGATAGAGTTAAAAATTATACTTTAAATCCACTTGAATCATTAATATAACATTAAACTTCAAACATATTGGATGATACTCTGCTTGCAGGTCCTCATTAATAGAGGGCTTCTACACAAGTGTTCCTTTGCCCAAAACCTAAAATTGCACAGCAGTCTTCCGATTGAATGCAATGTAGTACCCAGTACACCAATTGTTATTACTGTTCACAACAATGGCTATTACCACCAACTTGTAGCCTTGCATTACCAGTTTCCTTAAATGTAAATTTTTCACATTCCATAAGACTACTGTCACTACTGTCCCTATAGCATTTAGAAACAACTGCTAACCTGTACAATGAAAATTTAATGCAGAACATGTGAGCTTTGTCATCATTTCAAATTTGATTAAAGCTTCTGCATCCCTGATGCAAGATAAGAAAACTTACCAAATGCAAGATTGTACATCTTTTTAACTAGGAAATCACAAGGCTTCTCCCAGCTGAACTGCTGCATATAGTTTTCACGAAGAATCTCTGCCTCTGCAAGTCGTACATTCCTTTTTTTGTCACACACAGCCTTTATTGCTCTGGCCCAGTCTACAGGATCCTCTGAATCCACTATACACTGTGACCCATTAGGCACCTCCCTTAATGCTTCTGCAATACCTGAGTTACCACTGACAAGTACTGGAAGACCAGCAGATATGGCTTCAAGAGCGCTTAACCCGAACCCTTCAGTTTTTGAGGGCAAAATGGCAATATCCACTGCAGAGAATAAGTTGGCTAATGTTTTCCTGTTTTCATCAAAGCTGCAGATAATTAGTTGATTACGATCAATACCACACTGAAGTAACTTTTCTGCTAATTCATCTTCCTTTCCTCTCTGTTTGGAAGCAAACTTGAGTTGGTAAGATTTATCCTTAAGGTTAGCAATAGCTTTTGCTACAATATCATATCCTTTAACATCAAAATCTTCACTATTACCATTCTCAATTACCAAGACACAAAACGTTCTTCTTTCATCGCTTGCTTGCTGCACTTCTGAAAATTCAGGGAATATGCTTGGCGTCAGATTAAAAACATCCTGTTGTCCAAGTTGGTGCTTATATGCATCAGTTAGTTTGGGGCCAATTGTTACAACTTGATCAGCCATTTCACATAGTTCTATTTCTGTTTTCTGCATTTGTTGACCTTCAGAAATGCTTTTGTACATGCCAATTTCTTCAGGGGCAGTATGGACAACTTGAATCCATTTGCAATGATTGTAATTTGGATTTTTCTTTATGAGTGGAATTAGCCGACCAAGAGCTACTCCATGCCCTAGAATACAATCTATAGCATGGCCATCAGGTACAGAGGCTAGCCAAAGAACTGGTTCAAAACCAGACAGTTTAACAGCTTCAATGAGTTTAACATTGTAACTATCAGCATCTTTCTTGTCCTCTTCACTACACTGAGGTAAGAAGACACTGACTTCCACATTGGGATGTTTAGCCATCTGTATTGCTAGTTCTCTGTTGATGGTTGTCCAGTCTCCATTGCTTGAAGCTTTCCATTCAGCACTCAAAAGGGTTACTCTCAGTTTCCTTTCCCCAGTGTCATTCTGTAAACACAAGATTTTTGTGATTTAGGAGATTCAATTAGAGCATAGTCTCCTCTACTAACTATGATTAGAGTTATTGAAATAAGAGAGAAAACACATTTTATGAATTAATTTACTTTTGAAAGATACTTCTTAATTTTGAATTCACTTAGTAACTTCACAAAGTCAATAAACTTATAAGCAAAAGTTGTACAAAATTTCCATGAAACAGTAAAGAACAGTTGTTGCGGATATCAGGGTTAGTGTAATACAACTGTAATCTCATAATCTAAGAAGTGACCTGCATCTGTAACATTTTGATATCATGCAAAAAAATGTTATACACAAATTTTTCCTCTTCAGATATTCAGAGTCTGGTTTTGCATGACATGGCAAACTTTAAATCATCCAATTCTAACCAACTTGTATGATCATTTGTTATCTAAAAAGATGTGAAACATGAGACCTGGAGCATATTTTTCATTAGCTTTGATCATCCCAAAGAAAAAACGTTCTACAGTCATCTATGTGGACTCTTATAATCTTGAACTGATGTAGACTTATTTAACTCTCCCATAGATTTTTTTCCATATCAATCTCCTGCTCGGTAAATACCAGTAATATATTATTATAAGGTTTTGTATCTGCAGGCATGTAATTTGCTCCTGAAGTGACACCAGATCGAACAAAGCAACTTGGTAGTACTGGGCGTGAAATTAACTTTTTTTTCTGATAGCCACTTGGCTCCTAAATTCTTCAAAGTGGTAGCCAATTCAAAAAAAATTGGTCGCCATTTTCAAAGACAAACAAAATCTTTCTTTACGCTGTCAGCGTTCTAGATAGACCCTCCAAAATTAAGTTAGGGAAAAGATCTTTAATGTGCTACAAAGTGGACACTAGGATGGATGATATACAACGTTCAGGCTCATCTAAATCCAAGATGGCGTCTAGTTATAGATCGAGATGCATGTGCTACGTTTTGGAAACAAACCAAACGAGGAAGTTTGCCGCGGATTTATCTTTGCAAATCTTTTTAATTCACAATATCCCTCGGTAAGGTTATGATGAAACGTTCTAGTCGCCAATTTGGCGACTAACTTTCAGGATTTGGTCGCCAAAGTGAAAAATTTAGGCGCATTGGCGCCTGTATTAGGCGCAATTTCACGCCCTGTAGTAGCTGTGATTTTCAAAAGCAGTTGTTTGATATCCTACCTTTAATTGTCCTGACATCACAGAAACCTTAAATGTTGAATAGGCAGTTGCTAAAATGAAATAAAAAAGATGAATTACTTTCATTCAGCCTTAAAGATCAAGATATTGTTACACGATTTGTCTTTATGATTCAGTCTACCGTTCGTCTCAGAAAAGACGTTTGAAAATAGAGGTGATGAGTCGCTCTCAGGTATTTACCAAAATTTTTCATTTTAGTAAGAATTCTAGGCATCATGTATTAAAAGCTAACATGAGCTATCTTACCAAGACTTCATTGGCTTTTTACTGGGAGTGAAAGTCCTGTATCTATTCCCTTCAGTATCAGTCTGAAGCTGCAGTTCACTGATGATTTGGAATCACTTCATTGGAGCTGAAACTATTACTTATAGCTAGAAAAATAACCCGGTAAAACACCTCGCTCAACGTTAGTTTTAGTAGTATTTCAGGTCGATTTCTTATCACGGAAGTTGCGCCTACAGATCAGGGTTAGCTGTTCAGCGGCACGAGATAATGTCATGTATACGGCCGCTCATGTCACTTTCTGTTCATGTGGGGATTCATGTAAAATATATGAAAATCATACATGTGAACCGTTAGAGAAGAAAACAATCACCAAATTGTGGTAGGCCGCTAAACATACTTATGCGTCCGGCCCTCTCTCACGAACGTAAAGGGAAGTAGTCTGGGACACACGTGTTATTGCCCAGTCATAAGCCTTCTTCTTCTTCGTTTTTCACTTTTAAAATTGTTTCTTCACCTCCACCACGACATCACTAGTGGTGCACCTCTCCTTGAAAAAAATTCTGGATCCATCTCCTGTAAAACGAACTGATTTTAGCGCTGAAACCAAGAACGCACAAGTTTCATGGAAAACGAACATGGTGAAATACGAAAAGATGATGTTGAAGACAAGGACTTCAACACGATTGTAAAGATATCTAGCCTAAATCAATTAGTCTCTCAACCTCGGGATTTGATGAGTTTACGACAGTGTCATGCTCAAGTATTTACAGACTTGGTGTCTCGGTTTTCTCCATTGATCAATATGTCAGTTTAATGGCAGACCTTGGGACTAGACTAGTTAGACTAGTTAGAACCCGTGAGTTTCACAGAAGTCCTAATTTCAAGTCATCAATTTTTAATCCGACAGATTTACAGCAGATCACCTGGGGATCTACAATTTGCTTAATTTTATCAGTATCAGTAGCAACCGGGACAGAGTCGTTGGTAGACATGTAAGTCTCTTGTCTTTGATGGAGCTTTGAGTCTCAGCCTTGCTCAACAGTTCTCAATCTACCCGAACTTTATGCCTCCGACTTAAGAGCAAAGTATCAAGCCTTATCTGACTTTCCAGTCAGTACCAATTATCGCTTCAAACAAACATTGTTTGCTCACGTCTGTTATATTCCGATGTCCTCACAGGTTTAAGCTCCCTAGTATTCAGTTAGTATCAGTTAAGGCTTTACACAAGTACTTTATTCCTTTATCTCCTAATTCATTGTCACTGATGTCTAAGCTCGTTAATGTACAGTTCTTGTTGGTTAAAGCTTCAGGTAGGTCCTTTAATACTCTATCTCCTAATCTATTATGACTGACATTTAAACTGGTTAATTTGCAATTACTGCCGGTCAGAATGGTAAACAAGAGCACTATTCCTTCTTCCCCTAACCTATTGCAAAAGATGTTTAAGTTGGCTACTGACCTGATATTAGTGCTGATCAGTGCATCACACAAGTGTTTTAATCTTAAAATATATTAAAGTTCACACGGCAACCAGGTGGACAATCAGACATAGTTTGAAGCTACACTGGTTTGCAGATTTAATGAATGTAACCGAAGTTACAATTCATAGACCCAACGTTTCGACACTCCTGTCTAGTGCCTTCATCAGGGGTGATCTAAACGCTGCAACAAGAGGTCCTTTTATATGATCACTAATTAGCGGCCTTTTTTCTGACGAGGTGTAAATAGGCGTCAGGAAGCAGACCGCCATCGTCACGATTTAAAGGAGCGTGGGCGGAGTTTATGTGCCAAGCCTCCAAACAAAGGCGCTGGTGGTAACGCCGATTAGTGGTGATAATTTTAGAATTATCCCACCCAATTGTATGGTTGGTTAGGCAAGTATGCTCCGATAAAGCTGAATTTTCCTTTTTTCCACCAGCGCCTTTGTTTGGAGGCTTGGCACATAAACACATTAAATCTGCAAACCAGTGTAGCTTCAAACTATGTCTGTTTTAATCTTGTTTTTTCAAAGAAAGTCCCTGTGACGGTCGAATTGGTTAATTTGCAGTTAACACTGCTGAGCGCGTTACACAAGTGTATTATTCCTTCATCTCCTAACCTTTGGTCACTGACATTTAAGCTGGTTAAATTGCATTCACCACTGATCGGCGCTTCACACAGGTGTTCTGATCCTTGACTTTGTAAACCAATGCCATACAGTGTCAAGCTGTAAAGTTCACTCTGAGTAAGCGCTGTACTCAAGTTCTTCAAACCTTCATCAGATATCCGACTGCTAGAGATGATTAATCTGGTTACTTTCCAGTCCCTGTTGGTGACACACTTCATGAAACCAGTCCCATGGCAGTTTACGGGTTGATAGCTCATCCACAAACAGCAGTACCACTTGCCATGCACCTCCTCTGATGAATAATGTTTTCAATTCGTATTTATCCATTGCTTCTCGAAATTTCGATTAGAGTACTGAATGATTAAAACAAAAGAAATATTAGCACTTTACTTGAAAAAAAAATTGCAAAAAAACATCGTTTCAGATTTTTTGTTTTTATTTTTGTCTCAAGACTGACGAACCACAAAAAATACCTCTGCAAATAGGACAATAAAGAGTGGTGTTAAGATATTACCTGAGAATTACGAGTTTCGGGGCCGGTTAATTATACGAGGTCTAACGCATACCGCGGTTTTACGGAAGCGAGGGGCATCAGGCATTCTCTAAGAGAGTTGATTTTACAACATAAATGCCCTTTCACTATTAACTTTCGGCCCTCTTGACACTGTTCACAAAAATAAATGTTCAATAAAACTTTCGGCCAAATTGAAGATGGCTTAGGACACGGTTTTGTTAAACAACAGCTACACTTAGTTCAAATAACCGGTCCTCAGCGCTTCGACTTAATGTTGTTTGACAACATAGACAACTAGTATGAATGTGTTAACAGTCTCCAACAACAATCTCCTTGTACTCATTTTGTTTTACTTGAATTAAGCATCTAAACCACGATCTGGTCAGATGATAAGACTGAAAAGAAGATCGGCGAAAGTCAATAAAAACAAATGTAATTGAAATTAAATGAACGCATGAGAATAGATAAATAAACCGAAAACAGAAAAAATAAATGGAATTCTACACTTCATAATGCTGTCAATGCAAACAGAATGGATTTCAGCTGGAAAAATAAACAAACAAAAAAATCAAACAAACGGCTAGCGAAGAATAAAATCATAGCCAAAAAAAGAGCTGTAGTCATACTTTTGCTCTGGAAATATTTTCGTGAAATTGCATTCATATGCTGGTTCAAAAAGTTATCTTGCCCATACATGAGTGACAAAAAGAAGAAGGCATGAAGAAAACTTAAGATGCGAGCGAGCGGTCATTTACCTGCGCATGCTCGATGGATAAAATATATACCCGCTGGTCGATGCTTAATCTATCGCCGTACACTGACACTCTTCTCTACAATTAAACATCAATCGAAACTGGAAATTGAAGAGACATGATTGTGACCTGTCTTATTCATTCATTAAAATTGCGCCAGAAAAACATGAAGTGGGTGCGAAAGGAGAAGGCTTTACTGTATTATCGATGAAGACGAAAATTATCTTGAATTGCTCCATGGCGGTAACTTGGGATTCTCAGTATCGTCAATATCCAAGTATGGGTGATGGTTTCAAGACAATTTGAAGATTCAAAATAAATATTACGTACTAAAATGCGAAAGTTATACACCACAAAATTGATGAATAGGCCTGGAATGAAATTCCATCTTGTTCTTGATTATACGTTGCCTAGCACGTGACCAAAATCTACCCAGACGGAAATCCAAAATGATAAAGAGGGAATCACTAATATTTTCATTAAGCAAGTATTGCCTTGATTTTCCAATATTTACAATGATAGACAGTAAATTTCACTTTTCACCCACATTTACTTCCAACCTTTTCTTTTGAACCAGAAACAAAAATGATATATGTAAAACACATCATCCACCATTGTCAAATGTAATAGCATGATCATTTCAATCGTAATGCCTTCTTACCCCAACGTTTCTTTGTTTCTTTGCTACATTAGCAAACACTGAACTAATGCTCGTAGTCTAAATATGACAATCAACCACAAAATTCCCTAAACCAGATAACATTAAACATGATTCAAAAAATCATGTTAGGCATCTGTCAATTCACGAGTTTGCTCACAGAGCACTTTGATTTTTTTCGAGGGGGAGGGGTTTAGAAATTCAGAGGGAGGGCTGAATAAGCTTTAACGATAAGTCTAGCGCGACGAGGTTCCTTTTGGCTTGGTACGTGCGTTTGATTTTCCTTTCCCTTTTCTGGCTGAGAATACCCAGCGTCTATTTGCTGTGAATTGTAGGCTCTGTCAAAGAACAGAAGCAATCTCTAGATCTGTGCATTTTTTTCTTTTGTACATAAGGTTTAGTGGAAAGGAAGAAGTGGAGAACGAGTAACGTAACAATAAAAAATTGATTTCCTTTTCAGTTTATAAGAGCCTTTTACAGAAATTTCCCAAAGAGTTAGTGTCACTGTTTACTCGGCAGATTTGACTGGAAGTTTCTAGCACGAGGCCTTTCATTCACGTCGGCAAAATCCGTGGCGATGGAGATGAATCGAGTAGAAGAATTTACACAAGGTTGCTCCAAAGAGTCTCAAACAAAGGTAAGAACTTAAATTTTAATATACTTTGACGATAGCATTTGATTTTCCTGTTCTGGCTTATACTATCTTTTAAGACATGCTTTAAATCTAACTTCCAATAACAAAAATTAAAAGCAAAAAAAAAAAAAAATACTGAGCCAGAATATATAAGTTATAACAGGAAGGACTTTAAATGCATCAGACGCGTTCCCAAAATTTGAATAATAGAACAAAAATTGTCATGCAACCAAGCGCTTTGAGATTACCTTAATCAACTAAGTGTCAAGATTGTAAAGGAAAGCGACAGCAAAAATTAAACAAACGACCTTGAGATACTCTAAGTTGGTACAGATATTCTGACTGATAAAAAAAAAAAAAAAAAAAAAAAAAAGGAAAAAAAAAAACACGATCCGGATCGTTTAAATCGCTAGTTCACATCGGAAAAATTGACTAATCTTCCTAACTTCCTGAACGTTGAAAGGACAAAGAATTTCGCACTGGTATCAAATGCATTGAAGTTAAAAATCTCCTGTTCAAATAACATGCCTATAAAAGCCGCAGCCCCGACGAAATTCGTCCAAGAATCTTGAAATGTTGCAGTAACTCACTAGCATCGCTCCTATGCACTTTGTTTAATAATTCATTAAAAATTTGGTTTAAGTTCGAAGTACGGGAATGTAGCTGTTTGTTTTTTTGTTTGTTTGTTTTAAACAGTTTCGTGCTATTCCGCTGTACTGATATAAAAGGTGCCAAAATCAAAGTGGAGAGCTACAGACCTGTTTCCCTAGCTTCTTTGTCAGGAAATTTGCGGGGAGATTGAAAGGAAGTCCAAGGCTAAATCCAAACATTTGGTTTTATGGAAAAGTGTTTCTGCCTATCGAAATTACTCGACACTTCCACACAAAGAACCCCCTAAACTAGGCTCTTGCGCAAGCCATTTAGAGTTTAGCTTTTGACCATGGAAGGAGTTACTTCTATTCATCCTGGACCAAATACAAACGGGAAAAGAACCTTCGTGTCCAAATAAAACGGATACGTGTGTTTTAGCCCGTGTTTCTTTCATTAAGGCTCTATTGACGGATTCAGTAAAAGATAGGATCGCAAAAGAACAAAACCACATTTATTAAATTTAACTGCAGTCCTTTCACATATTCAACGTCGTTGGTTAATATACTTCGCAGTTTAGTGTGGTACTTTACAAAATATCAAATATATATGTAAAATATGATTTCTACTGAGAGTTGAGAATTTTGGAACAATAACTTAAATATTATCGATTAGATTACATCTACAGTACATTCTAAACTATTCCCGCAAATTGAAAAAGGGAGTATACATTGACTACGTAACCCGTAACAATTTTCTACCATTCGTATGTAATTTAAGAGTATTACAAAACTCCGCTGTTCATAAAATTTTCTACTAGGATGAAAAAAATTAATAGTTAGAGTACAAGCTTTGCGTAAATGAATTACGAGGCAAAGTCCAAATAAACTCATTTGAAAGAGAATACAATTGGTTTTACAACGCCTACATTTGGCTTCGAAAATGAACAAGGCAGGAAAAAACATTCCAAATATTTAAATGAAGCTTAAACATTATACTCTTGGAGTCTACTAACAAAAAATATGAAAGCCTAAAAATAATACGTCACTAATTCATGTAGTCTTTTCAAAGTTTTCCTTTAGAAGACAACGATATTCATTAGATAGGTTATCAAAATATCATTCAATATTCTTGGCATCTTATTACAGCTAAATCACCAGTATAACCCTGTAGCTAAAAACATTTTTTACAAAATTTTTGACATTATTACCAACAGATCCTTTATACGAAATTACAGTTGCATTTATAGTCTAATTTTTAAAACAGTGAAATTCGTCTATCCAACAATGAACGTTTAATAATCATTTGTGTCATGATAACGAGTCATTCCTCAATTCTTGATCACGATGTTTCGACTGCCTCACTGCTGGTCAATTTTAATACTCTGTTCAACAAGTTATAGTGACTAGAAGGTCAGTTATCGAATTAATTACCTTGAACAATAATCATTAAGTTTTCATTTATAAAAATGTAATTTATTTCATGACAAGCGAAACGTAACAGGAGGATGCTGTCACGGCTCTGAGTCACTGACTTGTTCCTTGGTCTACTTTGTAGTCGAACGGTAAAGTCGTAGAGCTCCTTCATCTTCCCAGTCAGTACCAATTAACATTTGAGACAAATATTTTTTTCCATCATCTGTTACATACGAATTTGCCCGGAGGTTTAAGCTCCGTAGTTTGCATTTGGTATCAGTCAAAGCCTTACACAGGTGCTTGACTCCTCCATCTCCAAATTTATTGCCGCGTATGTCTAAACTTGTTAATGTACAGAATCCGTTGGTTAAAACCTCAGACAATTCCTTCATTCCCCCATCTCCTAATCTATTAAAACCGACTTTTAATTTGGTTAACGCACAGTTACTGCTGGTCAATGCATCACACAAGTGTTTCAATCCGTTGTCTCCCAACTGATTGTTACTGACATTTAAGCTTGTTAATCTGCAGTTAACGCTGGCTAGCGCGTTACACAAAAGCCTTATTCCTACGTCTCCTAACTCACTGTCACTGACGTTTAAGCTGGTTAATGTACAGTCAACGCTGGTCAGCGCGTTACACAAGTGCATTATTCCTACGTCTCCCAACTTATTCAAACTGACGTTTAAGTTTGTTAATCTGCAGTTAACGCTGGTTAGCGCGTTACACAAGTGCATTATTCCTACGTCTCCCAACTTATTACACCTGACGTTTAAGTTTGTTAATCTGCAGTTAACGCTGGTTAGCGCGTTACACAGGTGTTCTAATCCTTGACTTTGTAAACCAATGTCATACAGTGTCAAGCTGTAAAGTTCACTCTGAGAAAGCGCTGTACTCAAGTTCTTCAAACCTTCATCAGGTATCCGACTCAGAGAGAGAATTAATCTGGTTACTTTCCAGTCCTTGTTGGTGATCGCTTTACACAGTGTTACCAAACCAGGGTCGTAATGTGTTGGCCACCCATTCAATATGCCTGACTTCGAACTGTATATCACTTCATTAGACACCTCCTCGTCCTCGTCCTCGTCCTCGTCCTCGTCCTCGTCCTCGTTATGAATTTTACCACACCGATCCCATGGTAGTTTAACTTTGGGGAGCTCATCCGTAAACAGCAGCACCACTTGCCATGCACCTTCTCTGATGTGAATAGTAAGGAATGTTTTCAATTCGTCTTTATCCATTGCTTCTCGTAGTTCCTCCAAGGCACGAGGTGGTTGGAGTACTAAAGGATTAAAACAAAAGAAATATTAATTTTTACTTGAAAACATTACAGCGAAAAAAACTACCTTTACATTGTTTTAGTCTAAAAACTGACAAAGCACAGAAAATACCTCGGCAAATTGGACACAAAAATAATTTTGAGTCTCCGTGTTTCGACTTATTGTTGAATCATCCCAAGTCAAAGGAAACCAGTTGGTAAAACAAGGAGACGGGCAGTATGAACAATAAATGTCTTTTTCTTTTCCAAGAAGTCTTAAAATGTCAGCAAATCCTTTGCGAAGTTGTAAATCATTGTCATAAAGTTTTATTCCAATATTATCTTTTCCTCCACTAGTAATCTAAAACTCTACAGTCGAAAATGCCTGCGAGAGAGGTTGCTGTTGTTGTTTTTTCCAAATCTGGTTTTAAAGTTTCAGAACATTTTCAAGAACACAAGAGAAAAAAATTGTTTTCACTTTACAAACATAACAACGAACTATTCGTGTTGATAAATTGAAAGAGACGTCTTTTTCTTGGTAATACGATCATAAAGTACTAAAGTTACACCACATAAGCGACCAGCTTTAACATCAGAATTCTATGATTTTTATTCCATGAACGCCACTCTTCTCATTCTACTTTCTTCTCGCATGGATGCACGCTTGGCCCTGCAGCTTTAAATGCCCCTGCCAGCGCAACCGCCCACGGCCTTCATAGAGGGGTTTATTTGTAAATCTTTTTTTTTTCTTATTAAGAACGGGCATTAGACCGCGCAGGTCATTTGATGACTATATAAAGACACCAGGTCTACTAAGAATGAAAAAAACCTAACACAAGATCACAAATCTGGGTTTAAAAAAAAATCCCTTGACTATTACACAAACCCAGTATTTCTCAATAATCTTACGACCGAATATGGATAACTGGACATATGTTTCAGAGCCAATACAAGCTTATTTTAACAATGTTAAGTACCTTGCTTACGTAAGTGAAGTTTGGCTGACTCATCTAATAAGTAACTGACATGGTTCTGGAGTTCCTCGGGTAAACTGACATCAAACTTCGCCAGTCCTGATCTGATGGTCGGATACATGACGTTCTCCAATGCTATCATGAAGGACACAAAAAGACGTAAACTATTTTAGTACTTAAGGTCACATTCTCTGTTCAGAGAATTTATTAAAATGAGGAACTACTTAAAAGACAACGTAAGAGTCAATTTTGTCATTAACTGTGAAAGATCACGGACAAGCTTGGGGTCAAATTTACATTTTGAAAAGATACCGCCAACATGTCTTGTCAATCATTTCTGACACGGAACATTAATACAAAAGTTTCTTAACGCACGAGCTTCATGATGGGCTCAATGGGGTGATGGCTTTTACGGCTAACGGTTAAAAATCTTGGCCATATTAGGGCTAACTTCTTCTTTTAAGGGAGTTTAAAAGAAAAATTTCCTTGGTTAACCCTTTGTAATCTAACGTTAAGGATCTTAGAATTCACATCACATCAAATCTATCACGGAGCCTGAAAACAAGGCAAACAGCGTACTCCGATTTATAGGTCGAACAAAGGACCCCAGGAACCCTGAATTGTTCTCGAAATTGTACGAGTTTAGAACATCCAATACTCTAGTACTGCTCTCCAGTGTGGTCTCCACACCTCAAAAAGGATTCGGCTATTTTAGAGAAAGTACAACGCAGAACACCTAGCTATGCAATCAGAAACATTGGCCGAGATATGTCGTATGAAGAGCGCTTAAAGGTCCTTAAATGGCCAACTCTACATCAGAGAAGATTATTTTCTTCGCTTACCGAGTGCTATAAGACGGCTAACAGTCTTAACGGGCTTCACCCATTTGAGTATTTTACATTTGCGCATGATTTTCGACCATTAAGAACCAACCATCGCCATAAACTTTAACCATTGCCCGCAAAGCTAAACAGTTTTAAGTACTCTTTCTGTGCAAGTATAGTCAATGAATGGAATAATTTACCTAAAATAGTTGCAGAGGCAGAAACTCTGAACATTTTCAAGAGCAGAGTCAGACGCCATTTTACTAATTTTCTAGGTAATATTGAACTATTTTACTGTAATTTTTAATTATTTTAGGAGACAAACTTGAAAGGGTAACCTCTTTTGTTTCCTTTTTACCTTTCATTAAAATTTGAATTGTGAATAAACAGTTACGTTATGTTAAGACTAACGGTTGAAATTCGTCAATTTTTACGACTAACGGCAAAATGTTTTTGCTATATTACGGTTAACGGTTAGCCCCATTGAGACCCTCCTACATGTACTACAGTTCACTCACATGCATTAGTACTACATGCACTATTGAAGCAGCAATATGGTAAAGCTAATAACTTCTAGTAGCGCGATGTGGTCATCGTAACTCTGAGGTGGCTTACACAAAGGCTCCTGAACGTTCGACACACAAACTCAATTTACAAACTGCATGTGTACACCTTGTTCTGAATTAGAGCACAATTTGACGCTTGCGGGGCCTTAACACATCAAGGTTGTAAATGGATACGATTAAAAATGCCTAACCACTCTGATAGAATGCTAGAGTTGTATCCAAGATTCACGACAGTACCGCGCACTTGATGTGCGTGCAAATCCCGTGCACTGCAAGCACGCACCACGAAACTACGCATAACATGAAACAGTACCTGTAATTTTGCATATGTACCAAAATTTGAAAGTTTCTAAGACCAGGATAAGCTTATCCTAAGAAGCCAGTTATTTTTTAACACGCGCTAAGAAGAAATTCAATTTTCCCTGAGCTTTTGTTTCCTTTCTTTTATTATTTTCTTTTTCTAGTGCAATGTGAGGTTGTCTCCTTACTACATGACGGCTGATGGCTGGGTTGCCAGGATTTACCACTCGTGAAAACAGTCTCCATCTAAGTGCTGGGTGCCAATGTAGTAATGTAACTTATATCTTAGGCCTCTAATGAGCATTGCAGTTGTTAATAATTACTGCAGAAAAAGACTGCACGTGCAGGAGTTCCGTGGAAAAAGATACTTCGATAAAGAAGTGGAAGTGTTTAATAGCATTCTACTAAAATTGTTTTTTCTCTAAATGTGCATTATTTATTCACCTGCCATCTTGACTTTCTCAAGTTCCCGGCGTAGGCTTGATACTGTTTCAATGGTGAGAAAGAGGGAACGTAAACTACCTGAGAGAAGAAGTAAACAGCAAAATGGTTTAAAGAATTTTTAAACACCATTCTTGGTTGATAACATAATATAAGAAGAGGGGTTATCTTAAATATGGAGTAAATACACATTATCCAATGCTTCAATACGTAATGAGCAGCGCAGATGTTTTGCAAGTTGCATGCAGGGCTTAGATATTGGAGAGAAAATAATAGGAGTCCTTTATAACAAACTAAAAGGAAGTGTGTGTCACCTTTCAGCTTGTTACTGAAAAAATCAAGCCTGAAATACTAGTGGAACTATTTCCTTGCATCACTTTCCATATTTCTTTTGCCCTGTTCAACAGAGTTAATACGCATGTTTCACTCACCTTTCACTCTTTTTCTTCGTACAAGTATCCAAATAAGTTGTTCAAGTTGTTCTTGTTCATCTTCAAGATCAGCAGTAAAGAGTTCAGGGGGAGGCAAAGTACCTGAAAGGAAAGGTAAACAGAGAGATACACTGTATTTAGCATTCAGTGCCTTACCTCGCATAAATGGTTAAAAACAGGCATTTAACAAACACTTCACATTGTACTAGGCTCATGTGAAGAACTGAAAGTATTAGATAACTATCTCACTTAATAATTATAAAGGAAGAGGGATCATCTTTACTAAGGAATAGTTTCCCTTGAAATGTATAATTTGAATAAGGAGTGGAAGCATTCATCAATAGTAATAAAATCAGATAACAGGTTCTTTTAAATAAGGATTAATTTCCCTTGTGATAATTCGATACAAGGGTGAAAGCCTTTAATGGCATTCTTGGATTTATTTCTCTGATGATGAATCAATAAACATTTTATATTCACCTTCCATTCTGAGCCTCTGAAGCTCCATGCTTAGTTCAGCTAGTTTTTTCTCAAGATCAATGGTTGAAAGTTTAAGGACAGAAAAACTACCTGAGAGCAAAGGTACACAGAAATATATTTAACACTTAGTGCCTCACCTGATATAAAAAGTTAAAGCATAATAACATGTATCAAGGTCAAGTGAAAGAACAATGATGCAAGTTTTCCATTATATCATTGTGAAATAACCTATCTATAAGTAATATTTCATTATCACATGCCACAGCCAATTTAATACTTCCTTTAACTGAAGTTGTGGATTAAGAGACAAAACTGAATTGAAAATATTTTCCTTAACAAAACTAAGGTACTGAATAACAGCTGAGAACATTTCACAGTATTCTTGGATGAAAGTAAGGACAGAAAAAAGGTTAATATCTCAGATAGGGAATAATTTCTCTTAAAGTGTTTCCTGAAAAAAATATGAATTCATTTCATGGCATTGAGCTATTTACATGACTAAAATATTTGAAAAATATAAAAAGCAAACATTTTTGACACTAGGTCATCATCACCCTGATGATGACCTGGTTTTGAAAATGTTTGGTTTTTACCTATTCAATATTTTTAGCTTATTTTTTAAACCTAAGCAAACTTTATGGACAGTTATTAGCATTCTTGTACCAGTTTCTCCCTAAAAATGACAAGATATGAATTTTTCTATTCACCTCTCATTCTCAGCTTGCTAATTTCCTCAAATACTTGCTCTAGCTTTTCCTTAAGATCAGTGGTGGGGAGAGAATGGAGAGAACCTGGGGGCAAAGGTATACAGAGCTTTTCAAAATTCAGTGTCTGACTTTAAACATAAAAGATAACAACAGATATACTTGTGCAAACAGCAAATTATTGTCATGTTAAAGTAAAACAGTGTTAGTTCTTCATTATAACTCCACGATCATCGTTGAAAACAACTATTGTGTATTTTTACCACATGCCGACTCAATACCATCCTTAGCTAAAGTAGAAAATGAAACAATGCCAAATTTGGATTAGTCTACAGTTTACTCTCGCCCTGCGTACCCCTCACTATTACAGACACCTCGCCACTGCAAACAAGAGCCAGCCCCTGGGGAAAAGCATGAAGAAATGACTGAAATAAACTCCCTTTAAAACGGACTCTTCCTTTTACCGAAATGTAGACACTTTCAAGCCCCCCAGCACGAAGTTTCACTTGCTTTTTCTCTTGCTATAACAGACACTTAATGCTTCATCCAAAATCCTAACTAACATACTATAAAGCGACATTATGAAAAAGGAAAAAAAAGAAACCATTCTTCAACAGGGTGTGAACATGAGAATTTCCTGCTTGCGGCCAGATCTCTTTCCCGTTTGTGAGGCCACGTTGGAAACTTTATTTCATATGTTAAGAAACAAAACAATTTTTTATCTCTCACACCCCGTTATTACAGACTTTTCGCTATTTCAGACATTTAATCTCCCTGCGAGGGTGTCCATAGCAATGGGAGTCAACCCTCAGGGGTAGGGTACAAAGTGAAATTCATGGTGTTACTTTTAATAGCGACACGATAACAGGTCAAACCAACATGCGATTAACTGATTGTATATGATGTACAAAATCTATCTAAACTACATCATTGTCAGTTTTTTAAGGCATAATTTAAGATCAACACCGAAAAAACTTAGTTTATCATTATATACTGTTTCACCATCCTCAGCCTCTACCATCTTAATATTCCCTTCTAGCAAAACACAGAGTGAGGGAAAACTAAATTGGGTGAAATTTCCTTTCAAAAAAAATATTTTGAATGAGAACTAAATGTATTTAAAAGCATTCTTGGTTTAGTTTTACCACAAAATTTAATTTAACAGCACATTTTTATTCACCTTCCATTATTTGAAGTTTCTTATGTAGCTCTTCTAGTTCTTCTTCAAGATCAAAGGTGGAAGATCCAGGAAGAGGCAACATGCCTATAAACAAAGGTATGCAGAGATTTATTATCATTTCTATTTATTAATAGTTGGGAAAAGGCATACCAACTTGCATTTAAAGATACTAGTAGGTACATGTACACTGTAGATTACCTTCATTTAAAAACAGAAGCTTTAAAACCAAAAAAAAACTGTTGAGAACAACTGAAAAAGTAATCACTCTACATGTATGTAACGTTTCCTTAATTTATTGAATGGAAACTCAGCACTATCTTTAACTAGAGAAGAGAATGAGGCAGAAACACATTTCAAATAATTTGCATTGACAAGTATCATTTTTCATAATTGCTGACAGAAGCACTCTTTCTTATTAATAACTTTAATTTCTGAAGATTTAGATATATGAAAATTCACATGTTTGCTGCGAATAATTTGCATTGACAAACATCATTTTTCATAATATGCTGAAAAGCATTCTTGCTTTTATTAATAACATTAATTTCTATTTTAAAAGATGACTAAAATCCACAAGATTTTATATGAAAATTCACATATTTATACATATTTATAAATATGTGAATTTTCTTTTTCACATGTTCAAATTTTGCATTGACTATATCATTTTTCATAATTGCTGAAGTTTTTCAGTAGTGTTAATAACTTTAATTTCTATTTTAAAAGATGAATAAAACCAAATTCAGGTTCTTTTTTCATTTCTCGTTTCTTTTCCTGAAGTTTCATAACTTCACTCCTACAGCTTTTTTGGCCAATTAACGCACGGATGAATTCTTCCACTTCTTCAATGTCAATGCATCAAAACAACAAGTCAGTGATTTGCTATGTTGTTTTCTTTTTTTTCTTGGAGCATGTCAGGTGGAACTGAACTCAAACTGGAACCCATGCTAGACTTCAACCCGTCAGCAAAAACAACTGAAAGTAGTAAGCCCCACATCTTTTTATTCATTTCAAGGTGGTTTGATAACAGTTTTAAGGGTAGATCAACTAAATCCACTTAAAAGCGGGTACTTTTCCTAATAACAAACATTAAATAGTCGATAACTTACAATACAATACAACTTTTTACTTGGCTTACTGGTAGAAGCTGAACATAATGAGCAACATATTTCAATTACAGTAACTTCAAAAATAATTCAAACTGAGCATCCTGTTCACCTTTCCTTCCCCACCGTTCTTCTAGTTCTTTTCCATGACCAGTGGTCGGTACCACAATGAGGGGTGAAGTACCTAAGGGTAAAAATGCAGAGAGAGATTAGCATTCACAGCTTCTCTTCAGATGTTTTATTCTCATAATTGGAACTGTGTACAATTATATTAATTAATTGATGCCACATCATTGCACTGAGATAATTCTTCAAGTACTTATAACATAACCGTTATTACTGTTCACAACAGCTTTCCATATAACTTAATACAAGTTTTTTTAAATTTCCTTTTCACCTTCCAATTTCACTGTCTCCATAATCTTTGTCTTCTGTTCACTTTTTTCCCATTGTTATTAAGTTATTTTAGGAGGGGGTTGGGTTGGAGTTAAACCTAGTGGGGAACTTATATCCTATTGTTTTTGCTTCGGTACTGCTTTGTGGAACAATATACCTAAAGATACGAAGACATTTAAAAAAGAAAACTATCCGGTACTACTTTGCACAAATCCTTAAATAAATAAATAAGTCTATAATAATAAATCTATCACGAAGCCTGAAAACAAGGTAAACAACGTGCTCCGATTTATAGGTCGAACAAAGGGCCCCAGGAATCCTAAATTGTTCTCGAAATTGTAAATGAGTTTAGTAAGTCCAATACTTCAGTGCTGCTCTCCAGTGTGGTCTCCACACCTCAAAAAGGACTCGGCTATTTTAGAGAAAGTACGACGCAGAACACTTAGATATGCAATCAGAAACATTGCCCGAGATATGTCATATGAAGAGCGCTTAAAGGTCCTTAAATGGCTAACTCTACATCAGAGAAGATTATTTTCTTCGCTTACCGAGTGCTATAAGACGGCTAACAGTCTTAACGGGCTACACCCATTTGAGTATTTTACATTTGCACATGATTCTCGACCATTAAGAACCAATCATCGCCATAAACTTAAACCATTGCCCGCAAAGCTAAACAGTTTTAAGTATTCTTTCTGCACTAAGAAGAAATTCACTTTTCCCTGACATTTTGTTCCTTTTCTTCTACAATTTTTATTTTCTAGTGTAATGGGAGGTTTTCTCCTCACTACATGACGGCTGATGGCTGGGTTGCTAGGATTTACTGCTTGTGAAAACAGTCTCCATCTAAGTGCTGGGTGCCAATGGAGTAATGTAACTGATGTCTAAGGCCTCCAATGAGCATAGCAATTGTTAATAATTACTGCAGTTGAAGGCTGCATATGCAGGAGTGCGTATACGTGCATATACGATTGTTTTGCGCGCACGGTCGAAAAAATGCGCGACTCACGTGCCTTTGTTATTCAGTGCTATAAAATTCTTTTTTATTTTATCGTTGTGTAAAACAAAGAACTTTTAAGTATGAGAATGCGACGAGTCGACAACGGAAAACTTACGTAATGAAAAAAGCTACAATGTTCCACTGACGCATGTCGCATCGGTTCGGGAATTTATCGAAGAACGAGCAGTAGCAATAGATTTGGTTGATTTGAGTTGTGGATAAATCAGTTGGAAAGGAAAATGTCACTTACATCGAAAAGCATCGAAACACGCGTATAATTAAGCGAGTAATGAAACAAATACTCACTAATATTGCTTCCCAATTTCTTCATTGCAGTTAGCGTTCCCTTGAATGAATGCGTAGCGGAATGTGAACTATTTGGTGTTCGCATCGCTGGTGATGATTTCCTCGAAACTTCGAACTTACCTCGATCACCTTCGATGAGGATCAGAAGCAATACCATTTAAGATTGTGAATGATGTTTCATTTTATTCATTGCAATCGGCGCTCGCTTCAGCGTTTACGCACAGAAATGTAAACAGTTTCATTTCGCATCGCACCTGATGATTTGTTTGGTTGCGGAGCGCAATATATTACTACAATGAAAGGTCAAGTTATAGTAAATCGCAATGTCAAAGACGAGTATTCGAAGATAATAACATAAAATACTGGCCTACTCCTGCTGAAAGTCCGGACATGAATCCTTTAAAGCTCCCATGACACGAACAGAAAACATTCTCTTGCGTCGCGTTGACAAGCCAACTAACAAGGACGAACTTGTCGCAGGCATCTATCGGTTCAGGGACTCTGGGACTGCTGCTGAGTGCTGTAAATACATTAGCCACCTCCGAAAAGTTACTTCTACTGTGGTCCAACGCGAAGGAAGAGCCTGGTAACAGCTTCCTTTAATGAAAAAACGGCTCCTTTAGGAGCCACCAATTTTCCAAAAGTCCTGGATTACTGTGTTGACTGACATAAGTATCGCCGTATTGATGTTTTGTCCAATTGCACGCGTCTGCGAGTCTTATACAAACTTGAACTAAATGTATCCTGCATTTAATTTTTCCCTTCCCTTTTATGAGCAATTTGGTGAACATCGCTCGATGATTTTACAAATATTAAACAAGAAGCAAATCCGGTTTCCAATAAAAATATGCATATGGGTAAGAACAAGACGTAGTCGTGACAGGTAACCATACTGTAACACAACACCATTAAAATAAGCTAGTAGAACTTATAAGTTTTTGTATAAATGGCGCGATGAATAAACCAGTTTTCGAGAATAGCATGTTCACCGATGATAAAGCTATGAAATAAACATTCACGCGTGGGTTTGCATTAAGAATGCGACAACTGGTTACAAACGGACGCTTTAGCTGATTCTACCGAATTACAATACACCGAGAACGAATTCCCAAGGCCATTTTGACGGATGTTTTTTTATACGAAGTGACAAATTTTGATTAAAGAATTCCGTTGTAAAATGATAAATCATTCATATATTCCGATTACGAAGTCGCAGTAGTTTGTAACAGCATATCGGGAAGGTCGGTTAGAACGGTGATTGAAACGAACAAGTTTTCTTGTCGTTGGTAGCAGTGTAGTATTTTAGTCCTGTTACATTGTAGCCAAAAAAAGCATACAATTGCGAATTTAAAAAAATGTGCACGTCAAAAAATCGCACGTGCGTGCATAAGCTTGATACGTCTGCCTCTTTAGAATATATGAGGTAATCATTGTTTTTCTATTCTATTATTCCTATTTTCTCTTTTTTTCTATTCGTTTTTCTATTTAGCCTATTCTTTAAAACGGTAAACCGCCAACAATAGAAAAACAAAAGGATTACCTCATATATACTAACGAGGCAGACGTATCAAGCTTATGCGCGCATGTGCAATTTTTTGACGCGCACATTTTTTTAAATTCGCATTTGCATGCGATTTTTGGCGCGTTTTATTCGCGTTTTTTGGTTAATGTATACACGAGCGGTAATGTAATTCTACAAGGAACTGGAAATATTTTAATAGCATTCTACTACAATTATTTTCTCTCTAAATGTGCATTATTTATTCACCTTCGATCCGCCATTTCTGAAATTTCTTGAGTAGTTCGTCTACTTCTACTTCAATGGTGGAAAAAGTGGGAGGTAAACTACCTGAGAGAAGGTAGCAAAATGGTATAAAGCATTTAACAGCATTCTTGGTTGATAGCATTATATCAGAGGTGGAGTTAGATCATTCCATGTTTCAACATGTAATGGGTGGTGGAGATTTTTTGCAAGTTGCATGCAGGACTTGAGGGAAGATAATATAATTAGGAGTCCTATATGACAAACTAAAACCTTTCAGCTTGTTACTTAGAAAAACAAGCCTAAAATACTAGTGCAACCATTTCCTTGCATCACTTTCCATATTTCTTTTGCCCTGTTCAATGGAGCCAATACACATGTTTTACTCACCTTTATCTCTTTGTCTCTCAAGTTCTGTGAGTAGTTCTATTAGTTTTTCTTCAAGATTAGCAGTTAAGAGTGCAGGGGAGAGAAAAGTACCTGAAAGGAAAGGTAAACAGAAGGATACACTGTACTGTATTTAGCATTCAGTGCCTTATTTCACATAAATGATTAAAAACAGGTATTTAACTAGCACTGTACATTGTGTTGGGGTCATGTGATAGCACAATTATTATAGTGTCAGTTTTCTGATTAATCTCCTATGGTCATTGTTGAAATCAACCATTTAGAAAAATTGACTCATCATATTGAGCCAGAGCCAACTTAATACAGCACAGAATTAGCAAAAACTAAATTAAGAAAAATTTCATATGAAAGCTAACACTTTACATAATAGCCAAAAGTATAAGACAGCAATCTCACTTAATAACTGTAAAGGAAGAGAATGTCATCTTTACTTAGGAATAGTTTCCCTTGAAAATGTATGATTTGAAGAAGAAGTGGAAGCGCTCATCAATAGAAATAAAATCAGACAACAGGTTCTTTTAAATAAGGAATAATTTCCCTTGAAAAGTGATATTTTCATACAGGGGCGTTTAATAGCATTCTTGGATTTATTTCTCTCTGATAATGCATTAATAAATATTTTATATTCACCTTCCATTCTGGACCTCTGAAGCTTCATGTGTAGTTCAGTTAGTTTTTCCTCAAGATCAATGGTTGAAAATTTAAGGACAGGAAAACTACCTGAGAGCAAAGGTACACAGAAATATATTTAGCACTTTGTGCCTCACCTGATATGAAAATTTAGAGCATACTAACATGTATAGAGGTCTTGGGAAAGAACAATGAAATAAGCTATCTTTAAGTATGTTTTCATTATCACATGCCACAGTTAGTTTAATGCTACCTTTCACTGAAATTATGGATTTAGAGGCAAACCTGAATTGAAAATATGTTCCTAACCAAAACTTAGTTGCTGAATAATAGCTGAGAACATTTAAAAGTGTCGCAAATGTTTGGTTTTTACCTATTTAGTATGTTAGCTCACTTTAAACCTAAGCAAACTTGATGGACATTTAATGGCATTCCTAGTTCAGTATCTTCCTAAAAATGACAAGAAATGAATTTTTCAATTCACCTTCCATTCTTAGCATCTTAAGGTCCACACATACTCTCCCTAACTTTTCTTCAAGATCAGTGGTGGAGAGAAGAGGGGGAGATGAAGAACCTGGGAGCAAAGGTATTCAGAGCTTTTCAAAATTTAGTGTCTTACTTTACAAAGAAAAGATAACAACAGGTACACCTGTGCAAACAGCAAATTATAGTCATGTTAAAGTAAAATAGTCTTAGTTCTCTATTACAACTCCAATGATCATTGTTGAAAACAACTATTATGTATTTTTACTGCATGCCAACTCAATACCATCTTTAGCTAAAGTAGAGAATGAGACAATGCCAAATTTGGATTAATCTACAGTTAACTGCGAAAAATGTATCGCATGTATATTTAAAATGTATCTCTCACTCGTTCCCTCCACTCACTCGTGAGAGATACTTTCAGCACAAGAAGATAAAATTCGTATCCCCAAGCGGCCATGTAATGTTCTGTTTATTCTAAAGATACTGATGAAATTCCTACATAAAAGACAACTTTTTTTAAATTCATTTTCAAAACAGCAAAATAGTGCAATTAAAGTGGTCACCTATCGCAAAATGCCTGTCATAAAAATGTTATGAAACTGGGATAAAAAGGAGAAATAAAGACAATAATATTTATATTTTCTGTTCAAAAAAGTCAAAATTCTAATGAAGAAGAGAAAAATTCAATAACAGCAAAAGAACTGGCATGAGTGGGAAACTCTCTTGTAATTGGCTAATCATGTTAGTAACCATGGCGACACCAATATCCTCACACGTGAAAGATAAAAATAGTATTTTCACTGCGCGCGATGAAGATATGACTTTTTAGTAAGAGGAAAAATCCTGGTATTTCATCAGTATCTATGTAATAAAATACCATTAGGTGTCCTTCATGACAAACTAAAACCTTTCAGCTTTTTACATAAAAAAAGCCTAAAATACTGGTGCAACCATTTTCCTTGCATCACTTTCCATATTTCTTTTGCCCTGTTCAACGAAGCCAATACACATGTTTTACTCACCTTTCATTGAGACTCTATCAAGTTCTATAAAGTGTCTTTCAAAGTCATCTCTAGGATCAGTAGTAAAGAGTTTAGGAGGAGGCAAAGTACCTGAAAGGAAAGGTAAACAGTAAGATACACTGTACTTAGCATGCAGCACCTTACTTTACATAAATGGTTAAAACAGGCATTAGACTAACAATGCACATTGTGTTAGGGTCATGTGATAGCACAGTTATAGTCTGTGTCAGTTTTCTGATTAATCTCCTATGGTCATTGTTGAAATCAACCATTAAGAAAAACTGTTTCATCATTATAAGCCACAGCCCAACTTAATACTCCCTTTGGCCACGGCACAGAATAAGGAAGAACCAATTAAGAAAAAATTCATATAAAAGCTGACACTTTACATAATACCTGAAAGTATAGGACAGCAACCTCACTAATTAACTATAGAGGAAGCAGGGTTATCTTTACTAAGGAAAAGATTCCCTTGAAAATGTACATTAGAATAAGAAGTGGAAGCATTCATCAATAGTAATAAAATCAGATAAAAGGATCCTTAAAATAAGGAACAATTTCCCTTGAAAAGTGATATTTCAATACAGGGGTAAAAGCCTTTAATAGCATTCTTGGATTTATTTCTCTCTGATAATGAATCAATAAACATTTTATATTCACCTTCCATTCTGAGCCTCTGAAACTCCATGCATAGTTCATCTAGTTTTTTCTCAAGATCAACGGTTGAACATTGAAGGACAGGAAAACAACCTGAGGAATAAGCTACACAGATATATATTTAGCACTAAGTGCCACACCTGATATAAAAAGTAAAGGCATAATAACATCTATTGAGGTCAATGGAGAGAACAATGAAATTAGCTATCTCTAAGTATTTTTTCGTTATCACATGCTACAGCCAATTCAGTACTACCTTTGACTGAAATTATAGATTTAGTGGTAAAACTGAATTGAAAATATGTTCCTTAACTAAACTAAGTTACTAAATAAAAGCTGAGAGCATTTAACAGTATTCTTGGATGAAAATAAAGACAGGAAAAGATTAATATCTCAGATAAGGAATAATTTCTATCGGTAGTATTTCCAAAAAAAAGAAGGTGAAAATATTCAAAGGCATCGAGCTATTTATATGGCTAAAATATTAAAAAAAAGTAATTAAAACCAAACATTTTCAACATTAGGTCATCATCGCCCTGATGATGACCAAGTGTCGCAAATGTTTGGTTTTTACCTATTTAATATGTTAGCTCACTTTAAACCTAAGCAAACTTTATGGACATTTAATGGCATTCCTAGTTCAGTATCTTCCTAAAAATGATAAGAAATGAATTTTTCAATTCACCTTCCATTCTGGACCTCCAAAGCTTCCAGCGTAGTTCAGTTAGTTTTTCCTCAAGATCAACGATTGAAACTTTAAGGACAGGAAAACTACCTGAGAGCAAAGGTACACAGAAATATATTTAGCACTTTGTGCCTCACCTGATATGAAAATTTAAAGCATACTAACATGTATAGAGGTCTTGGGAAAGAACAATGAAATAAGCTATCTTTAAGTATGTTTTCATTATCACATGCCACAGTTAGTTTAATACTACCTTTCACTGAAATTATGGATTTAGAGGCAAACCTGAATTGAAAATATGTTCCTAACAAAACTTAGTTGCTGAATAATAGCTGAGAACATTTAAAAGTGTCACAAATGTTTGGTTTTTACCTATTTAATATGTTAGCTCACTTTAAACCTAAGCAAACTTGATGGACATTTAATGGCATTCCTAGTTCAGTATCTTCCTAAAAATGACAAGAAATGAATTTTTCAATTCACCTTCCGTTCTTAGCATCTCAAGGTCCACACATACTCTCCCTAACTTTTCTTCAAGATCTGTGGTGGAGAGAAGAGGGGGAAATGAAGAACCTGGGAGCAAAGGTATTCAGAGCTTTTCAAAATTTAGTGTCTTACTTTACAAAGAAAAGATAACAACAGGTACACCTGTGCAAACAGCAAATTATAGTCATGTTAAAGTAAAATAGTCTTAGTTCTCCATTACAACTCCAATGATCATTGTTTAAAACAACTATTATGTATTTTTACTGCATGCCAACTCATTACCATCTTTAGCTAAAGTAGAGAATGAGACAATGCCAAATTTGGATTAATCTACAGTTGACTCTAGCCTTGCGGTCACCTCACTATTACAGACACCTTGCCACTGTAGACAAGAGCCAGCCCCTAGAGAAACACATACAGAAATGACTGAAATAAATTCCCTCTATAACAGACTTTTGCTATTGCAATGATGCCAACTCTTTCCTGCCCCCCCAGCATGACTTTTCACTTTTTTTCTCTCTCGCTATAACAGACACTTATTTACTCTGTCCAAAATCATGACTAGCATACTATGAACTGACATTATGAAAAATGGAAATAAAGAAACCATTCTTCAATTGGGTGTGAACATACGAAATCTTCTGCTTACAGCCAGATCTTTTTCCAGTTTGTGGAAACTTTATTTCACATGTTAAGAAACAAAACAAATTTTTATTTCTCTTGTACCCCATTATTACAAACTTTTTGCTATTACAGACACTAAATCTCCCCCCAAGGGTGTCCACAGTAATGGGAGGCAACCTTAAGGGGAAAAGTACAAAAAGGAATTGATGGTGTTACTTTTAATAGCAACATGATAACAGGTCAAACCAACATGCCATTAACTGATTGTATTTGATGTACAAAATCTATCTACACTACATCACAGTCAGTTTTTTAAGGCATAATTTAAGATCAACACTGAAAAAACTAAGTTTATCATTATATGCTGTTTCACCAACCTAGCCTCTACTATCTTAATTTTCTCTTATAGCAAAACACAGAGTGACGGAAAACTACATTGGGTGTAATTTCCTTTTCAAAAAAATATTGCAAATGAGAACTAAATTTATTTAAAAGCATTCTTGGTTTAGTTTTACCATCAAAGTCAATTTAACAGCACTTTTTCATTCACCTTTCATAGTTTGAAGTTTCATACGTAGCTCTTCTAGTTCTTCTTCAGGATCAGAGGTGGAAGATCCAAGGGGAGGCAACATGCCTAAAAACAAAGTTATACTGAGAGAGATTAGCATTTCTTCTGATAAATAGTTCGAAACAGGCATACCAACCTGTAGCTCTAAGGATAGATTTAAAAAAAGCTGTTCAAAACATCCATTTGAAATACACACATACAGTACAATAATTATTATTGTTTTCATTCCACAAACCAACTCAAATTCCCTTTAACATAAGTAGAGAATGAGGCACAATCATATTTGGAATAATTTACATTTATGTATTTTACATTATTTACAGCAATATTAGTATTCAAGGTGTTAGTTTCATTTGAGAGATGATAACACAGCAAACCAACAAGTCATGTGACCATCCCTATAAGGGCATGAAATTTATCTTAAATACAAAATTTAGGTTAAACTAAATTGGGTTTTAATTTCTTTCAAATTAATCTTTTTAATGAAGAACTGAGAGTATTTCAAATAATTGTCAGTTTAGTTTTACCCTACAGACCCTTACAACCTTAAATGTTTAATCCCAAAAGCACACTTCTTTACACTTGACATAATAACTGAACACACTGAACATATTCACTACTAACAGATATTTATTCAAACTGAGCTTCCTGTTCACCTTTCCCTCCCTGTGCTTTTCCTATAAGTTCTTTTCCATGACCAGTGGTGGGTATTACAGTGAGGGGTGAAGTACCTAAGAACAAAAAGTACAGGGTGAGATTCACAGCCTCTCTGCAGATACGCTGTAAGTTGTTCCCCATAAGTCACTGGTTGAACTTATGGGGTGGAATTCAGATGATGAGGCACCTAAAATCAGATTTAAAAGAAAACAAATAATGGGGCAATCACTAAATACTGACATTCAAAACCATACAACACACCTTAAATCATTTTTATAAAAACCCCACACACAAATACAGGTAACATTTTCTTTTATAGCTCCTCCAACTAAAATCTTGCCAATTTTTATTTTAGCTTGTTTTATTTTGTTTATATTTGGAGCCAAAGATAAACACAACCAGACAGAAAGGAAATGACAATGCCAAATTTGGATTAATATTCAGTTGACTCTAGCCCTGTGGTCACCTCACTATTACAGACACCTTGCCACTGCAGACAAGAGCCAGCCCCTGGAGAAACACATACAGAAATGACTGAAATAAATTACCTCTATAACAGACTCTTGCTATTGCAATAATGCACACTCTTTCCTGCCCTCCAGTATGACTTTTCACTTATTTTTTCTCTTGCTATAACAGACTCTTATTTACTTTGTTCAAAATCATGACTAGCATACTATGAACCGACATTATGAAACAGGGAAATAAAGAAACCATTCTTCAATTGGGTGTGTACATAAGAAATTTTCTGCTTACAGCCAGATCTTTTTCCAGTTTGTGGAAACTTTATTTCATATGTTAAGAAACAAAACAAATTTCTGTACCCCATTATTACAAACTTTTTGCTATTACAGACACTAAATCTCCCCCTCGAGGGTGTCCACAGTAATGGGAGTTGACCTTAAGGGGAAAAGTACAAAGAGCTATTCATTGTGTTACTTTTAATAGTGACATGATAACAGGTCAAACCAACATGTAATTAACAGATTGTAAACAGTGTACAAAATCTACCTGAACTACATAACTGTCAGCTTTTGTAAGGCATAATTTGAGACCAACATTAAAAAGACCTAGTTTATCATTATATACTGATTCACCAACCTAGCCTCTACAATCTTAATAATTATTTCCTTTTCGCAAAACACAGAGTGAGGGAAAACTAAACAGGGTTTAATTTCCTTTCAAAAAAAAATATTTTGAATGAGAATTAAATGTATTTAAAAGCATTTTTAGTTTACTTTTGCCATTAAAGTTAATTTAACAGCATCTTTTTATTCACCTTCCATTCTTTGACGTTTCAAACATGGCTCTACTAGTTCTTCATCAGGATCAAAGGTGGAAGGTCCAGGAAGAGGCAACATGCCTAAAAGCAAAGGTATACAGTGGGAGATTAGCATTTCTACTGAAAAATAGTTAGAAACAGGCTTGCAAATTGTATTTAAAGATACCAGTAGGTACATGTACACTTTAGATTGCCTCTATTTAAACAAAGATGCTTTAAACCTGAAAAAGAAGCTGTTAAGAACAACTGAAAAAGTATTCAGTCTATAATTATGTATGTAATGTTTCATTATTACACAGAAACCCAGGACTACCTTTAACTACAGAAGAGAATGAGGCAAAAACACATTTGAAATAATTTGCATTGACAAAGTATCATTTTCCATAATTGCTGACAGAAGCATTCTTGCTCATTTATAACATTATTTTGTATTTTAAAAGATGAATAAAACCACATTCAGGTTCTTTTTTCATTTTTCCTTTCTTTTCCTTAAGTTCCCTAGCTTCACTCCTACAGCTTTTTTGGCCAATTTAAGCACCAATGAATTCTTCCACTTCTTCAATATCAATTCATCAAAACAACAAAATCAGTGACTTGCCATGTTTTTTCCCTTTCATTTTCTGGAGCATGTCAGGAGGAACTGAACCCAAACTGGAACCCATGCTAGACTTCAATGAGTCAGCAAAAACAACTGAAAGTAGTAAGCCCCACATCTTTTTATTCATTTCAATGTGGTTTGATATCAATTAATTGAAAAAGTAAATCAACTACATCAACTTAAAGTGGGTTTTTATTCCCAATAACAAAGGGAAAAACTCAACCAACAAGAAGAACCTTAAATTGTCAATAATTTACAATAGAATACAATTTTCCACTTGGCTTAATGGCTGAACACAATGAACACCATGTTCCAATAACATTAATTAAGTTCAAACTTAGCATCCTGTTCACCTTTCCTTCCCCAAGATTCTTCTAGTTCTTTTCCATGACCAGTGGTGGGTACCACAATGAGGGGTGAAGTACCTGAGGATAAAAAATGCAGAGAGAGATTAGCATTCACAGGTTCTCTACAAATGTTTTGTCCCCATAAGTGGAACTGTGTACAATTATATTAATTTATTGATGCCACATCATTGCACTGAGATAATTCTTCAAACTTATATCACACAATTGTTATTACTGTTCACAGCAACTTTCCATACAACTTAATACAAGTCTTTCAATTTCTTTTTCACCTTCCAATTTCACTTTCTCCATAATCTTTGTCTTCAGTTCACTTTTTTCCCATTGTTCTTTTTTTTGTGGACTTTCACTGGTTGAACTTGTGGAGTGGAATTCAGAGGATAAAGCACCTAAATCAGATTTACAAGAAGACAAACATTTTAAACCATAAACATACCTCAAACTATTTTTAAAAACACCCAACATGCAAAAAATAATAAAATTTTCTTTCATTATTAGCCCCTCCAACTAAAGTCTTGCCAATTAACCTTTGATTAATGTAGTTCCATCAATCTTGATCAAAAACTGCACCCATCCCTTCATGACATGTACCTTACTATACTTCATGTTGAAAGACTGATGGATTTCATTCAAAACCCTTTACAAATATTTTATGATAGGACCAGGCCTTGTTACATTCTTTCTACCAACCTCTAAGTGCATCTTTCTCAAAGAACATTTTGCATGCATTGTACTCTTCTATGTCCATTGTTGTCTTCAGCCTCAGCTCAGCCAGGTTCAGTTCCTTCAAGATCTTTTCAGTTACAAAACAATTCTGAACCACTTCACCAAGATGACCAGATGAGTAATCTGTCCACAACTCCTCCAAGATCATTAGAGATTCACACTTCACTGTTATTACCAAACTTCCTTCAGAGACACCAGTAATGATGACCCTCATTTCTTTTGCATATTCCTTAAACCAATTCCACTCTTCAATGGACTGTGGCTTTGTGGAGTGGAAAGAATCTTTAATAATTGATAGAAAGGTTTTCTCTTTAAGAGCCTTGAGATCTTCTGTCTGTGGATAAGACACACTTCCAGATGCAGCTGATGTAGCAGATGCCCCAGGCTGCTGAACCTCTTGACATCTGACAGATTCTGTCGCCAACATGCCAGTCTGCATATTCTGTTCTTCAGGTTTCAAGTCATCCACATCAACCTTAATATTCATTTCACCACCTGTTAAATTGTAACAGTCAAATTTAATCCTAATATAACAAGGTTTTTTCACCTCTTACCTATTTAACCATTAAAATGCAAGAACATTATAATGAGGGAACACCAATCAAACACAGAGCTTGCTACTAATTAATAGATACCAACAACATTTTAATGAAGTGAAAATGATTACCACATATTACAACATACAGTATATATATTGCTTCAGTTTCAGTTTCTTTTACATCTTCATTTCATTCCATAGTAGAATCAAAATTCTGATTGATCTAAAATATTACAGTTTCAAACATGGAAATATCTAAACAGACTTAGCTAAGGTGAAACATAGGCATGCCTAGCATGCAAGAGTTATTTTTGCTGGGTGGGTTGAGATGAGACACTTTGTCTACCAAATGTTTTCATTTTTATTGTAACACAAGGAGAGCATAACTTCCAAATGAACAAAAATATTGCAATACTTCACCTTAAGAGAGAGAAAGTAAAACCCTAATTTAACTGGAAGTCACACACAGTCAGGTATTTTATGGTCTATTGTCTCTAATGTCTAAATACTTCTAAACAAAAATAACACGCATTGGTGCCATGCTTACTGTTGTCTCCTTCACAGCTGTTGTTTGGTCTCATCACACAACACCCTCTATTCCCTGTTTAAGAGAGAACATGTAGAGTGATGAGACTAAATAACAGTTGCAAAAGAGACCACGCTTACTGCCATTCCTCGAACAGAGAGAAAATGAAAATTATTCATCTACAGTTAGTGGCTCCAAAAATAGAATTCCACCTAATTTTACCACAAAAAGCAAACTGAAACTCTGTTGTATTTCCAATAGACCCAAAGATATATTGCAATCTTGAATAAATGAAGATACACTGAACAAGAGAAAAGGATAATATTTCAAAGAGGGCTCCTTGATTGGTTGTTGCCCATCTGGACTTTGCCCTGTGTGTGTGAAATATGTGATAAAATGCAGGTTGTTTACAAGGAATTAACATGTGACATAGGAGAATTGCATGAAAAGTTCACTATCAGTTGCAGTTAGTTACATGTGAATTTTTTTTCAATGGAGTTGGAAAATGCAGTTGGAATATATGATAAAATGCAGGTTGTTTACAAGGAAATGACAAATGATATAGTTAAAAATTATACTTCAAATCCACTTGAACCATTAATATCACATTAAACTTCAAATACATTGGATGATAGGCTGCTTGTTTTGTAGGTCCTCATTATTAGAGGGCTTCTACACCAGTGTTCCTTCAAAGCAAATAGCACAGTCAGCAATCATCCAATTTAATAGTACAAATGCAGTACACAAATTGTTATTACTGTAAACAACAATGGCCATTACCACCAACTTATAGCCTTGGATTACCAGTTTTCCTAGATGTAAACTTGTAACATTCCATATGACTACTGCCCTATAGTATTTAGAAACAATGCTAACCTTTAAATTTAATATTTAACACAGAACATGTGAGCTTTCTCATTATTTCAAATTTAATTAAAACTTCTGCATTCCTGATGCAAGGTGAGAAAACTTACCAAATGCAAGACTGTACATCTTTTTAACAAGGAAATTACAAGGCTCCTCCCAGCTGAATTGCTGCAAATATTTTTCACGAAGAATCTTAGCCTCTGCAAGTCGTACTTTCCTCTTTTTGTCACGCACAGCCTTTATTGCTCTGGCCCAGTCTGCAGGATCCTCAGAATCCACTATACACTGTGACCCATTAGGCACCTCCCTTAGGGCTTCTGCTATTCCTGAGTTACCACTGACAAGTATGGGAAGACCAGCAGATATGGCTTCGAGAGAGCTCAACCCGAATCCCTCAGTTTTTGAGGGCAATATAGCAATATCCACTGCAGATAATAAATTGGCTAACGTTTCCCTGTTTTCATCAAAGCTGCAGATAATTAGCTGATTACGACCAATACCACACTGAAGTGACTTGTCGGCTAATTCATCTTCTTTTCCTCTCTCTTTTGAAGCAAACCTGAGTTGGTAAGATTTATCCTCTAGTTTAGCAATAGCTTTCATTGCAATGTCATATCCTTTAACATCAAAGTCTTCTCTATTACCACTCTCAGTTAGCAAGACACAAAATGTTCTTCTTTCCTCGCTTGCTTGCTGCACATCTGAAAATTCAGTGAGAATGCTTGGTGTCAGGTTAAAAACATCTTGTTTTCTGAGTTGGCGCTTATATGCATCAGTTAGCTTGGGGCCAATTGTTACAACTTGGTCAGCCATTTCACATAGTTCTACTTCTGTTTGCTGCATTTGTTGACCTTCAGAAATGCTTTTGAACATGCCAATTTCTTCAGGGGCAGTATGTATAACTTGAATCCATTTGCAATGACTGTAATTTGGATTTCTCTTTATGAGTAGAATTTGCTGACCAAGAGCTACTCCATGGCCTAGGACACAATCCATAGCATGGCCATCAGGTACACAGGCTAGCCAAAAAACTGGTTTTAAACCAGGCACTTTAACTGCTTCAATGAGTTTAACATTGTAACTATCAGCATCTTTCTTGTCCTCTTCACTACACTGAGGTAAGAAGACACTGACTTCCACATTAGGATGTTTAGCCATCTGTATTGCCAGCTCTCTGTTGATGGTTGTCAAGTCTCCATTCCTTGAAGCTTTCCATTCAGCACTCAAAAGGGTTACTCTCAGTTTCCTTTCCCCAGTGTCGTTCTGTAAACACAAGATCTTTGGGATTTAGGAGATTCAATTAGAGTTATAGAAAAAAAGAAAAAACTCATTTTATGAATTATTTTACTTTTGAAAGACACTTCTTAATTTTCACTTCACTTCACAAAGTCAATAAAATTATAAGCAAAAGTTATAAAAAATTTCCATGAAGCAGTAAAGAACAATTGCTGTGGATATCAGAGTTAGTGTGATACAACCATGTAATCTCATTAACTCTAAGAAGTGACCTGCATCTGTAACTTTTTGATATCATGCAAAAATGTTACACACAAGTTTTTCCTCTTCAGATATTCAGAGTTTGGTTTTGCATGACATGGCAAACTTTAAATCATCCAACTCTAACCAACTTGTCTGATCATTTATTATTTAAAAAAATGTGAAGCAAGAGACCTAGAAGATATTTTTCATCACCTTCAATCATCCCAAAGTAAAGACTTTTTACAATCATCTATGTGGACTCTTAATCTTCAACTGATAATAACATATTTTACTCTCCTATAAATTTTTTTCCATATCAAACTCCTGCTCAGTAAATACCAGTAATATATTATTATAAAGTTTTGTATCTGCAGACATGTAATTTGCTCCTGAGGAGACACCAGAGTGAACAAAGCAACTTGGTAGTAGCTGTGATTTTCAAAAGCAGTTGTTTGATATCCTACCTTTAATTGTCCCGACATCACAGGAACCTTAGATGTTGAATAGGAAGTTGCTAAAATGAAAATAAAAAAGATGATCTTCATTACTTATTCACAAAAAATGTCTTAAATTTCTAACTGTAGACCACCGTATTAGATGACAACTGGAAATTACTGTTGCTAGCATATCACAGAGTAATCATATTGCCTTTTTGATTAAGTGAAATTTACTTGACGAAATATATCCATGAAAAAATTTCTTCCTTCTGATTAGCAAAGAGAAATGAAGTTTTCAGATAACAATGCAGAGCAGAGGTACATGTACTTCAGTGCTAAAAAGAGTTTATTTTAAAAATGCTAAAAATTTGACGAATTGTTCAGCGATTACATGCAGGGTTTGAATAAATTATTCTACGTGCGATTCCTGTAAATTAGAATTAAAAGTTGTCACATAGTTTTGTCATGTATATTAGTAATCAATATGTAATCACAAGATATTTGTCATAAAATCTTGAATAAACAGGCCCTCCCAAATTTTGTCAGACCACAAGTTGCATGGGCCTTAATTCAAAATTTTTTGCGAGGGAATTTTAAGATTCTGTATTAGAGACTTAAAAACTTCAGGCAAAAGTGTTAAATTCAACCAGCCGAACTATTTAAGTTTGTGAACTATCCCAGAATGTGATAGTGGTTTTGAACTTTGATGGTTTGACATTTTTGACAGCTTTAGTCTTGTACAGCCAATCAGATTATTTGAACCATTCTAACAGGGATTTTAATTGGCTTATCGTAGCGTGCTTTATAAGAGTAAAGAGCATTCTGACATCACTGTTGTTCGCTTTGAAAATAAAGTTTGTTTTGGAAAATTGAAAGTGATGCTTGGGGAATTACCGGATTCTTAGGAAGCGGCTAGAGCACGCAAGAAGTGTAGGGAGGAACACGAGACGTAGTCGAGTGTTTCTCCCTACACTTATTTCGTGCTCTAGCCGCTTGCTGCGTGCTTTACGACAGAACAGAGCACAGTCAAGGCTTCTCTATTTGTTAATCAATATGTAATCCCAAGATGTTTGTCATAAAATCTGGAATAAATCCTAAATTTTGTCAGACCACAAATTGCATAGGCCTTACTTCAGAATTTTTTGCAAGGGACATCCGCGAAGACCTGATAGCCTTAAAGATCAAGACAATGTTACACGAATTGTATTTATGATTCAGTCTACTGTTCGTCTCAGAAAAGACGTTTGAAAATAGAGGTGATGAGTCGCTCTCAGGTATATACCAAAATTTTTCATTTTTGTAAGAATTCTAGGCATCATGTAATAAAACCTAACTTGAGTTGGCTTACCGAGACTTCATTGGTATGTTACTGGGAGTGAAAGTCCTGTATCTATTCCCTTCAGTGTCAGTCTGAAGCTGATGATCTGGAATCACTTCATAAGAGCTGAAACTATTTCTTATAGCTAGAAAAATTAACTGGTTAAACACCTCGCTAAACATTACTGTTGGTAGTATTTCAGGTCGATTTCCGCCCTCCCATTTCACTTTCGGTTTAATGAATTATTTTAATTGGTTCATTTACTGTCACGTGACAACATTAAGGGAAAGAAAGTCCCTCCTATCCTGTTATAAGATATGACTATTACACCACACTTTTCATTTTACGAGTAGCGTAAGTACATTGCAGCTGGTCGAATGCAGGCTCGTTCATGAAAGGAGGTAAATAAAATCTGAGTTAGGAAAGAAATATATGAATGGATGTTGGTATGTTTCAAGGGAGAAAAATTCTCGTGACTGGAGGAGGAGGATATTTTAACCACAAGCTGGGGAATGAGTTGAAGAACATGGGAGCAGTGGTTGTATTGTTTGACATCTCGCGGCCGCTGGATGAAGTTGTAAACGAGCAAATGGAGTGTTTACATGTAGACTTGACCCGGAAATTACGTAATTTACTTTGGATTATTTTACCAATACAATCCATTCGGATCTTGCCTTTGTTCTACGCACAGACAAAAATTGACAAAATTTTTTACCACAGGGAAAATACTTAGAAGTTATTTCAGTTTGCTGTGTGAGAGAGCCGGTAGCCGGCGAGAAGTGTTTTCTAAAGATTCTAGAATTCTCTTATAATTTCCACTTCACCTTTCGAACGATAATGTAATAATTATCCTGGATTTCAGTGAATTTGTTTTTTCTTTTAAACTTATGATAATGTTAAGTCTCATTTTATGGCATAAGATCCATATGTATGTTCAAGGGGGGGATATAACAAGAATAGAAGATTTTAGAAAGATTATCAGTCATCAGATTGATGTAGTTTTTCATAGTGCATCGTATGGAATGTCTGGAAGAGAGCAAGTTAACATGATGTACTTATTGAGTGAATGGTAGGGCCAGAATAAAATATATTTGACTCGAGGTTGTGGATTCATAGATGTGCAGTGCTCTGTATTTAGAGTGCTCTGACTCTGTGCTTGTCCCAAATTTCATGAATGAGAATGTTTGACTGAATAAATGTTTCCCATTCTGCCCCAACCTTACTCAGTCAAAACTGATTTTTTTAGACTGAAATCCTGTCCAATCAATGTACCAATACTGCTTTTTGCTTTTTGCTCGGGAAACTGGAATAAGTGGCTATATGATGGTTCATGTAGCCTAACACATTTTAATTGCAAAATTAGTTTAGTATATTACCACTATGGTATCTGTACACATGTTAATTTTAATCAAGCAAGCAAGCAAGTAAGTAACAAGTTATTTCTAGCTTCTGAAAAAGTTTTAGTTTCCCTCCCACCCACACCATTGACAATTTTGATTGTTTCTTTATTTCATTCGTGTTTGTAATTTATTCCTGATTACTGGACTGTTGTTTTAGTTTATTTGTCAAATATCTCTTAAATAATAGTTTAGTGTGTTATTTTCATAGGATATTTACATATAGTAACTGTCTGGTCCCAAAACAAGCCTCTGTCCGTTGTGATGTTTAATTGTTTAGTAAAAGCTGATTTTGTATGTTGATCTCTTGTTCAATCTCCCGTAGAGGACTGTTGTCTGTGGAAGTAAATGAATCAGATACTTTTTTTTCATGACCCGAGTAGAAGTTATATACTCTGATCATTTGCCTCTGATGATGAATTCCACTCAGATTGTCCTGGCACCATGCAGTCAGTTCACTGAAAACTATCCTCCTCAGGGGTAGACAAATCCAAATTAACAGATTGCATGATGGACTAATTGAGTATTTTGTTAACAATATTCTGTAAACAATTATTATTTACAATTTTTTGTCATAATGTTATAGTTTTTGATATTGATACTTTTGGAATCTCCATTGTGAGCAAAGCTGTTTATAACAAATGTTTTAAGGTGGGATTGTTTTTTCTTTTTTCTTTTTTTTTTTACTGAAGGCAACATTTTTTTATCTAGAATTATGATTTTACCTTAAGTATTAGATACCACCTGTGTTCACATCCTTAATTGATGCATTTCTACTCATTAAAAACACAGTAGAATTTGAAATAATAGTTAATTAAGCCTGGACCAATCAGCAAGGATTTTCAGATTTTACTTAGTTTGGATCTGGATCATTTTTTACCCATTTTGGTAGATGAAAAAAAATGGTTGTCTCTGATGGCTGCAGGCAGCCAGTGCTTGTTAAAGTAAGTGAGAAATTGAAAGACTTCATTAACTGTGATACTGTATTACTGTGAACCTCAGAAAATTGTGTGTAAACACCAGAAATATTTATGGAATATATTTTTGTATGTCCCAATAAAGTGTCAGAAAACCAAAATTAAATTCCAATAAACAATTATGGTCATTAGTTTTTGATTTGATGGTTACTTGTTTGGACCAAACTTGAATGATTAGCAGGTGCAGAAGTGACTTGTTAGAATCCAATTAAGTTGGTTCTCAATACTTAACAGAATAATTATTGTAGCTTGCGTTGGGAAATAAGAAATCCCAGAGCAACGTGCTTCACTGAAAATTTTTCATTACGTAGAATCCACCAAGTAAATACCGGTATGTATTTCTTTTGTATTTGCACTGTCACCAACGAAATTTATAATGCCTGTAAGGTTACTTCCAACCTTCAAAGGTCACAAAAATCGATTTGAATTTGAAAACTGAATTCATTTATTAAACCTGACGTTTCCATAAAAAAATCTCCGAAATCTTTAAAAGCACCCAAGTTCTTTAGAAAAAACGTATTTTCATATAAAAGTTTGTAAATCAGGAAGGTGTCATAATCTCGGACCTGGGCGAATCCCGTGGGGGAATTTTCACGGCAACCGCTCATGTTGGGGCACATAATTTGTTTACATCGCGCACTTTACAAAATTCACACGTGGAAGCTCTTTGTTTATGGAAAAATCTTTGCTCGTGGAAAAATCAAAAGCGGAAGGAAGTCCTTGGTAAAAAGGAAAGTTGGCCCAAAGAAGAAAGAAAGAGTAGCATTCTGTCAAGGAAAGAAAAAATATTCCTCCATGCTGACGTTCAGATTTCGAACAAAGAAGTCCCCGTCGAAACAAAATTTGCCAAACACGCTGTTGAAAATGCGGTTTCCTTTTCTTTATTCAAGTGCCAGCCTTGATGCAAAAACATGAACAATCGCTTCGAATATTGTAATTTTGAAAGCTGTATGTCGATTCGTTGTCTTGCTCCTCAGTACCTTTTCTGGTTTTTCCATCCCTGCTGCGTGTTTTTCCTTTGCCTTTGGCAACTTTGCTCAATATTGTGTCGTCCTCCTCAACGCTCCACTAAGCGATCGAGGTGAAAAATGTATGTCTAGATTTTAACGCTGGGCCGCGGTGTTTCTTCATTTTCTTGTCATGCGAAAGCGAAACTGCCACGTAAACACTAGACTTTACGTTTTGCCGACGGAAAATATCGGCAAGCAACAGTAGCCACCACAGTTCCATTAGTTACCCTATGCCCTTTTCCTGGGAAATCTTGATCTATCTGTTTCGTCAATATAATGAATTATTAACTTGATTTTCCTGATTGATTTTGATTGACACTAGCTTATGTAATTAAGCCACGTGAATAGCTCAGTTTTAGTTCAGATACTTTAGATTCGAAGATACGTACAAGTTCTGCTAACCTGTCTTGCTGACCCGTGTTTTGTTATACCCTGACCTGTTTCATCTGTTGCTGACCTGTACGTAGCTATACACCGTGAAACAATCCTACTAGACATCGTCATAGAAGTAAGTTCTCAGTGCTGCAATTCTATTTAATAGTTTTACTCGTGTGTTTATGAATCGATGGATCCTGTTCAATTTCTCAAATGTATCTCGTTCTTTTCTTTAGATCGAATAATAATATATTGGAATAAATTATACGATTTGCGTAGCCTGGTTGGATTGCCTGTTTGGTTTTGTTGGACCATTTCATTCGATTTCTTGGTCTGATGAAGAAGCTGCGCTAATCAACCACGATCATGGCTGAAGCGGCGCTAAAACAAGCGAAGACTGACCGACGTTCAGCAAAATCGGCCTTCACAAGGGCTGGAAAAGCGTTGGTACATGCCGTAGAACATAAGAGACCTCCGAATGAGGTAAGAGAAGTCTTAATTAAGCTGCAGGGAGTGTATGAAAACTTAGTGGTTAAACACGAGGGTTATACCAAGCTCATTGAAGATGACAGCGCGTACGAAACTGAAGAACAATGGCTCTCCGATTGCCAGGAAATATTCATGCGTCTTGAAGTAGACGCCAAAATGTTTGTTGAAAGTGTGGAACAGTCGAGTTCGAATGATTTAGCTAAGAATGGTAATTTAAGTAAAGAAAAGAAGAGTATTGCGTGCGATGAAGTGCTTGAACACGAAGGAATTTCAAATATGCAGTCGGCAACACCTAGCACAAGCGACGCCCCCCCCCCAACGATGAACTGCCAATTATACAATCAGTCGAACAAGCCGGTCCGGAAATTGACGTCGAGAACGGCGCTAAATCGGTACAAGTAATTAACAATGTCCCGACAGCTGATGATAAGCAGATTAACACAGAAAGCAATGTAAACATCACGTCAAACGCTAGTACAGCGAATTTACAGCAAAGTCCTATTGAAGCTGGTGCCTGCACGTTTAAACTGGAAAAACCCAAGCTTCCTGTTTTCGCTGGAAATGTCCGAGATTACGCCATCTTTCGTTCAGATTTCAAGCACGCAATAGAAGCGAAGTACTTAAAGAGAGATTCAATCACGCTCCTGCGTACGTGCCTGCGAGATAAGCCACTCGAGCTCATTAAGGGAATAGGAAGCGACTACGACGCCGCCTGGGACTACTTGGACTCCATCTATGGCGACCCAAGATTTGTGTCAGACACTGTAACTCAGGACATTGTTCAATTCAAAGCCTTGCAGGAAGGCGAGGATGCGCGATTTTGCGACCTCGTACATCTGGTGAAAAGATGTTACAATACCTTAAAAGAAGTTGGTCTCCCTAGTGACATGAACAATAGCCACATGCTTTCGATCATTGAACAGAAGATGTGCGCTGATGACAGAAAAGTTTGGGCGAGAGATCTGGAAAGGGAAAAGAAACCTGCTACCCTTGAAGCGTTGATGAATTGGATGAATGTTGAAATGAAATCGCGAATGCGCGCTACAGCGCCAATCAGAGTGGGCTCATCTGGTAGACGCCCTGTGCATCACTTCAGGTCTGATAGCGACAAACCCGTTTGGCACAAATGTTGGCTGTGCAAAACTTCATCACACTGGCCTGATCAATGCCCGAAATTCATATCCCTCAGCATTGACGACCGGATCGCAACTGCAAAGGCAAATCACCTGTGCTTCAGCTGCTTGAAAAGGGCTGGGAGAGGACACACTGTGGATAACTGCAAACGCAAACAACAGTGCACAAAGCTGGAGAATGGAACGCGGTGTCCACAGCAGCACCATCAACTCTTACACAAGAGCAATTCCGTGAAGATTGGCGTCGCCATTACAGCCAGCCCCAATGAAGCAATTCTTCCGGTTTTATCTGCTAACATCGGCAGCGCTAACGGTCTCTTTAAATGCGGAAACATTCTTCTTGACTCGGGGGCTCAAATAAGTCTTATCCGACAGGATACCGCTGAAACTCTCGGTTTGAAAGGAAAGGATGTGTCCATAACCATTACTAAAGTTGGCGGCGAGGACGAAACAATGAAAACAAAGGAGTACAATGTTCAGCTAACCTCTATTGACAGCAACAAGCGTTTTACTATTAAAGCAATTGGCATTCATAGCATCAGTGACAAGATTCCAGCAGTGAAAACATCGCACTTACCGGAGGTTCTTGGCGTACCAAACACCAGATTTCTCCGTGGAAAAGGGCACGTTGACCTGCTGATCGGCACTGATCACGCACACATGCATGCTGGGGAAACAAGGCAAGTGGACCACCTGCTAGCTCGCAAGTCTCCACTTGGATGGGTGGTTTTTGGAGGAAAACCAGAAGAAATCAGTGACGTAACCAGCATATTGCATGTCAAGTACGCCTCACCAGTAGACTTAACGGACTTTTGGACAACGGAAACTATGGGCGTGGCCGTGAAACCCTGTGTGTGCGATGCAGACAAACTGACTCAAACAGAAAGAGAAGAAGCCAAACTCATAGAGGAGTCGTGTTTGAAAGTCGAAAACCAATGGATGATCCCTTACCCCTGGAGGAAAGACCCTAACCAGCTGCCAGACAATAGAGGTTTGGCAATAAAACTCCTAGAATCAACAGAACGACGCCTGAAAAGAAACCCTGAACAAGCTGAAGCTTACTGCAAACAGATGGAGGAAATGGAAAGCATGAAATTTGCGCGAAAGCTTTCAAAGGAAGAACAAGACAAGTATCATGGTCCTGTTCATTACATTCCACATCACGCTGTACTGAGGCCAGATAAGAAGAGCACACCTGTTCGAATTGTTTTCAATGCCTCCTCTGCATTCCAAGGACATGCTCTGAACGATTACTGGAAAAAGGGTCCCGACCTTTTAAACGGCATATTTGGAGTTGTCTTGAGATTTCGAGAGAAGGAAGTTGCAGTACTGGGAGACATCTCCAAGATGTATCATCGGATCCTTATTCCCGAAAGAGATCAACACGTACACCGCTTTCTCTGGAGAAATATGGAAACAGACAGAGAACCTGTCACTTACGTCAAAACAGTTCTGACATTTGGGGACAAGACCGCACCCGCCATGGCGCAAATAGTGCTACGAAAAACAGCCCAAGAGAACAAGGCAGGCTACCCAGAAGCAGCCGAAGTGCTGACGAACAACACGTACATGGATGACATCTGTGAGTCTGTGGAAACAGAAAAGGAAGCTAGAAAATTAACAAATGACATAGACACTGTTTTGAAGACGGGAGGATTCAGAGTTAAAGAGTGGATTTCCAATAAGATACTCAAAGAGAAAGTGAACGGTGACGCAGAGAAGAAAATTAACATGTTCAAAGGAGATGAGGAGAAGGTCCTGGGAACCCTGTGGAATTTTAAAACAGACAAGTTTTACTTCAGAGTGGCAGCAAACCTACTGAAGTTAGACAACAGTCAAAACCATGTGCAGAAGATGACCAAAAGAATGATCCTAAGTCAAGTGGCTCGCATTTATGATCCGATTGGATTTGCAGCAGCGTTCATCGTCAGAACAAAGATTGAAATGCAAAGACTGTGGCAGCTGGGGCTGGACTGGGATGACGAGCTACCAATTGCAGTTCAGGAAAACTGGATTTCACTTTTCCAGGAAATTAAGGAACTAGACAGTGTGTCGTTCGAAAGATGTCTAACAGTAGTCAATGCTGTGGAACCGCCAATGTTATGCGTTTTCGCTGACGCATCACAAGACGCACTCGGAGCATGTGCCTACACACGCCAGAGAAAGGATGACAACACTTACGCAGTCAAGTTCATCGCAGCGAAGTCTCGAGTATCCCCGTTGAAACAGCTGACAATTCCGCGCTTGGAGCTACAAGCAGCCGTCCTCGCAAGTCGCCTAGCCAAATCCATTCAGGAGGAATCTAGGATACAGTTTAAAGATGTCAAGTTCTTTACCGACAGTACGATTACCTTGGCCTGGATTCAAGGTCCATCACGCAGCTTCAAACCATTCGTCTCCTCGAGAGTGGGAGAAATTCAAAGTAACTCAGATCCAAACCAGTGGAAGCACATCCCCAGTGAGGATAATGTAGCTGACGACCTGTCGCGAGGGATCCGCGTTAATGAGTTACAAGGCAGGTGGAAGAATGGCCCAGAGTTCCTATACCTACCAGAAAGTCAATAGCCGATTACGACAACCCTGCCAGCGCCGAATGTAGACATGGAACGCCGTCAGATGCAGATATTGACCGCAGTCACAGCACCGAAAGCTAATAATGGTATTGATCCACGCAAGTTCTCAAGCTGGAGAAAACTGATCCGCGTAACGGCACGAATACGCAGACTGGCAGTAAAGATACGACTGAAGAAATACGACCAACACGGAAAGGAAGGACCGCTGACCCCTGAAGAGCTTCAGTAAGCAGAAATTTACTGGATAAGCCAAGCACAGACAACCCTCTACAGCCGTTTAAATAGAGGTGAATTCAAATCGCTCAGCTCGTTCAAAGATGAAAACGGAATTATCAGAGTTGGAGGAAGAGTGGATGAAGCTATCGTGTCATATGAAACAAAGCATCCCGCCCTTCTTCCGAGTGACCACTGGATCTCCTTGTTGGTAACAAGACACGCTCACCAGTACGGACACTCCGGCGTAGCCGCTACTACAGGCAAGACAAGGAGGAAGTTCTGGATCTTAAAAGCGAACAAGCTAAGCAAGTCCGTGAAATCTAAGTGTGGATTCTGCCGTGAAATGGCACACAAGGCTGAGACGCAACTCATGGCAGACCTTCCTGTTCTCCGTTTAGCACCACACACCCCGCCGTTTTACTACACCGCGTGTGATTACTTTGGTCCCTATAAAGTTAAAGTTGGAAGAAGCAAGACGGCTAAGCACTACGGAGTGATCTTCACGTGTTTAAACACCAGGGCTGTCCATTTAGAGTTAGCAGTTGACCTAACTACGATGGAGTTCATCCAAGTGCCTCGCAGATTCTTTTCAATTCGAGGATACCCAGCAGTGATATTGAGCGATAACGGAACACAGATGGTTGGGGCCGCTAACGAACTAGGAGAGATGGTGAAAAACCTAGATGGCAATCAGTTACGCGAGTTCTGTGGAGAAAAGAGCATTAAGTGGATCTTCACAACGCCAGCTGCGCCACACCAAAACGGTTGCGCAGAAGCCCTTGTAAAGAGCTGTAAGAGATCACTAAAGATTGCAATCGGCGAACAACTTCTGACGCCTTTCGAGTTGTACACCTGCCTCCTGGAGATTGCGAACCTGTTGAACCAACGTCCCATCGGGCGCATCCCTAATGATCCAGACGACGGAGCTTACCTGTGTCCGAACGACATGCTCCTTGGAAGAGCCACTCCGGAAGTACCACAAGATCCGTTTAAGGACACCAGAAATCCCCGCAAGCGAGTAGAGTTCGTGCAAAGAATCGTTGATTCATTCTGGAAACGCTGGACTAGGGACGTCTTCCCTACCCTAGTACCAAGAAAGAAGTGGCACGTTGAGAACCGCAATGTCGCAGTTGATGACATAGTTACGGTAGCCGACCAGAACGCTGTGAGAGGCAAGTGGGCTGTAGGCAGAGTAACAAACGTACACCCTGGAGCTGACGGACGCGTTCGAAACGTTACAGTCAAGACAGCCACTGGAGAGTACAGCCGTCCAGTAACGAAGACTGCAGTCATTCACCCTGCTGAAGGCGACGATTAAAGGAACATTTGCTATGATAAGGACTACGCCCTTATCGGGGCGGAGAGTGTTTCGTCAATATAGATATTTTATATTTTATATTTTTTATATTTTATTTTGTAATTAGGTAGCGCTTTGGAAAATTATTGGATTTTAGCGCTATATAAATAAAATTATTATTATTATTATTATTATTAATATAATGAATTATTAACTTGATTTTCCTGATTGATTTTGATTGACACTAGCTTATGTAATTAAGCCAGGTGAATAGCTCAGTTTTAGTTCAGATACTTAAGATTCGAAGATACGTAAAGGTTCTGCTAACCTGTCTTGCTGACCCGCGTTTTGTTATACCCTGACCTGTTTCATCTGTTGCTGACCTGTACGTAGCTATACACCGTGAAACAATCCTACTAGACATCGTCATAGAAGTAAGTTCTCAGTGCTGTAATTCTATTTAATAGTTTTACTCGTGTGTTTATGAATCGATGGATCCTGTTCAATTTCTCAAATGTATCACGTTCTTTTCTTTAGATCGAATAATAATACATTGGAATAAATTATACGATTTGCGTAGCCTGGTTGGATTGCCTGTTTGGTTTTGCTGAACCACTATCGTTGACGCTAGGAGGTACCGTTGTCCCATTGATTTGCGGTTTCAGGAGGCGAGATAATCTCCTGGCATGGCACGAGTTATTTGCGAACCTTTATGAGCTAACATCTCGCATCTTGGTTTGGGAGGAATACAACCACTTTGAGCGAATATATAGGGCATATGGATTTGACCGATTTTCGTCAAATTTCGCAAAAACATCATAGGATTAATGACGAATGAAAGTGTTTTTGTCCCGTGGCGTCCATTTACGCAATACGACTCGCATATTTTCAGCTACTCCAACTTTAGATGCCGGTATCTAGAAAACCAATCATAATATCGAAAAAAGCCAGACACACTTATATTGATTGATGCCTTGTGAATGAGACTGTGTAGCCAGTTTGCTCGTGCTGCGGCATCCGATAAATTCAACAGAAAAACTTTCGGTCGTTTCGCGCCTTACCGGCTCCTGACACTTCCTTAAAAAAAAAAAAGTCGCCTAAATTATATTTTTATCGTAAACTGCAGTTATTAAGCTTTCTTCTAATATCATTTATAGTTTGTTAGGTTTTTAGTGAAACTAGCGCCTGTACGAATTTGTTCCCGAAGGACACCCGCAAAGGTGGGAAGTAACCTTAACACTATTTTTAGAATAATGGCAGTGGTATCATTATTAACATTACAGCCTCACTTCATCACAATACCGGGACACCCTCTGCAGGTCTATAGTAATTGTATGCAAAAAGGTTTTGTCGACTGCAGAACACGAACAAGTAGATTCATGATCACCTGTTTGGAGTATGAACCTTACATAATTTACCTACTCCAACTACAGTGGAACCTCCATTCAGAGGACACCCTGGGACTAGGGCAAATGTCCCCTACATAGAGGTTGGGTTTTGTTAATAATTTATCCCCCAAAAAAGCGTCATCTAAATGGTTATCCTTTGGCGAAAAAATATTTGTCATTAAATGAAGTGCAGTGTTAAAAAAGGTGATATTGTGAAAGCTGTTATCGTTGTGATTAGTGTACACTTAATCTTTGGGATCAGTCACATTTTGAGTGGTTAAAATAGACGTTACAACAAGGCTTCAGGACCCAGAAAAAGTGCTATAATCCCTGGAATATATAGAAGTGTCCCTTTCTTTGAGGTAACAGATACAAAGATATTATTTAAAATTTTTCTGAGACCAAAGTTTGTGTAATGAAATAATTATGTGGTTATTGTTCATCGTGGTGTAAGATAGGAGATGAACTTTATTCGTTGTCTCACGTGTCACTTTGGATGTCGATCGCGACGTTTCGACTGCAATACTCCTAGTCTTCATCAGGCGATGAGGTCGATTGATTACATGTCGTTATTTTTAGCACGTTGGTTCGCTGCTATTGGTGCATTTCGATCCTCATTATTAATATTATTCCGGTTGTTAGATGGTGTTAGGGAATGATGATATGAGGGAACACCATCAACGTTGCGATCAACATCCAAAGTGACTCCCTCGTGAGACAAACGAATAAAGTTCATCTCTTACCAAAGTTTGTGTTTCCTGAATAGGGGTGTCCCAAATAATCTAAGTAATAAAAAGAAAATATAATGAAGAGATGAAGTGAGCAATCCAGCTTCCATTACTCAAGTCATGCAATTTGTCTCATGGTCTACAATTCATTACATCTATTTTTAGGTCAAGTTAATAAAGATTAAATGCATGTTAAAATGTCATTCCTGGTGTCGGCATCGAATCCGCTGTGTTGGCAGTCAGGAGTTAGACCGATCATACAAGTTAGACTAGATATAACATTCAGACTAGTCGGATTAGTCAGAGTAGTCAGACTGGTTAGACCCCAAGGGTTTACAGAAGTCTTGATTTTGAGGCAAAAATTTTAAATCCGACAGAGTTACAGCAGATCACTAGGTGATCTGCAATTTGCTCAATGTTATTAGTATCAGTAGCAACCATCAGGACAGAGTCGCTGGTAAACAAGTAGGTCTCTTGTCTTTGATGGGGCTTTGAGTCTCAGACTTGCTGAACAGTTATCAATCTACACAAGTCTTTAGGACTGGTCATTATTCATTACCTTTAGAGGGGGTCGCAGGAATTTGAATTTGGTTGTGTCACAATAAAATTTACCTAATCCCCCTTAGGGCTCTGCAATATTCTGATGTACCCCCTCCCGCCGCCCTCCCCCCAACCGCGCACACAAACAATCACTTCATTGGTAGTCAATTCTCTATATTCCTCACTTTATACTCTGTTAGCAACGACTGATCCCCCTCCACTCCCACTGCAAACTATGTTATCTCCCAAAATCTTCCACCCCCACCCCACCCCCAGGCGAATGACCGGTCCCTTGATAAAACGCCTTAAATGAGAATTTGACAGTTGGTGTCTAAAATGAATTGAGCTTTGTATCAATGTGGAAGTCAAGAATTGGCAGGTAAAATTGACCTGGAAAGTTATGCGCAAATGACAGACTTTGATTTCTCCTCTTTCTCTCTCATTCATTTGGAGTTGAAGGGAAATGTGTTCATTCGCTCTCGCAGTTTCCTTACCAAACCTAATTTAAGATCGTGGTGGTTCAATTCTGTGGCTGTTTTTGGACAAAAGTCTTTTAAGACCCCATCCTTTTTGGCGGCACATCCCTGTAGCATACATAGGGGAGTACCCTGCCAACCCATAGATTGATTCTCAATTAGTCCGAATCAAATTGTTAGTCCGAATCAAAACTTGCTATAAGTACAAAGTATTAAATTACAAAACATCCTGCCTTAAAGACTTTCGTTTCCATATTTAAAATTATAAAATGTATATGTAAATTATTTTTTTTGAGAGTTGTAACTTCTAAGACAGCAACTTCTCATCTTTTTAATTAGAAAACACCTACATTACATTTCTACTTATTCTATTAAACTGAAAAACGGATTAAACTATCACAAAAACTGCAATACCCATAAAATAATTTCGTACAAAAGTAATTTGAAGAGTATTACTTAATTCTGTTTTTGACAAAATCATCAGCTAAGGTGAAAAAAAAAACATAAGTTAGAGTATAAACTTTGCCTAAATGATTTCCTAAGTTAAGTCTGATTAAACTAATTTGTAAATCTGCCTCAGAGAACAAAGTATACAACAAAGGAGAGCACTTTCAATTAAGCTGTTACACTGTATCTTTAAGACGACTAACAAAAAAATATCATTTGCTATTAAAATTAAACGCATTCTTATCTTTTTTGTACGTCACTAGTTCACGGAAATGTTCAAATTTTGTCTTTCAGAAGACAAAAATATTCCTTAACTACTTTATTAAAACATAGTTCAATATTCTTAGCTTCCTACGGACCTCTTACACATAATTGCATCTACGCTTCCAAAAAAAGACTCACCTAGCTACTGTATTTTAACCTACTTTCTGAAACGAACTTAACATGAACAAAAGATCAATGAAAGTTTAATAATAGTTTGTCTAACGATGCCATTAATTGTTGATGGCGACGTTTTGTCTGCCACACCGAGAGTCGTTTAGAATACACAGTTTGATCGACAATTCATGAGGAGTCAATAACTTGAGATAACCTACCAAACTATTATTTATCCAATCAAAAAACAAGCGTCAAACAATAATTCTATCCTTCATAAAAATTACATTTTGATTGACATGCGATAAGTAACGAGAGAAGACTATCCGAGCTTTTATGCCTCTGACTTCATGGAATGGCAAAGTACCAGGCCTTCTCTGACTTCCCAGTCACTGCCAGTTATCGCTTCAAACAAACACTGTTTGCCCACGTCTGTTATATTCCGATTTCTTCGCAGGTTTAAGCACCGTAGTTTGCAGTAGGTATCAGTTAAGGCTTTACACAAGTACTTTATTGCTTCATCTCCTAATTTATTGTAACTGATGTCTGAGCTCGTTAATGCACAGTTCTTGTTGGTCAAAGCTTCAGGTAAGTCTTTTAATACTCCATCTCCTAATCTGTTATGACTGACATTTAAACTGGTTAATGTGCAGTTACTGCTGGTCTACAAAGTAAACAAGAGCGTTATTCCTTCTTCCCCTAGCTCATTGCAACTGAAGTTTAAGTTGTTTACTGACCTGCAGTTAGTGCTGATCAGTGCATCACATAAGTGTTTTAATCCTGTTTTTCCAAAAAAGGTTCCTGTGACGGTCAAATTGGTCAATTTGCAGTTAACACTGATGAGCACGTTACACAAGTGTATTAATCCTTCATCTCCTAACTTATTGTCACTGATGTTTAAGCTGGTTGAACAGCAGTCATAACTGATCAGCAATTCACACAGGTGTTTTAATCCTTGACTTTGCAAACCAATGTCATTCAGTGTCAAGCTGTATAGTTCACTCTGAGTAACCGCTGTAGTCATCAGATATCCGACTGCTAGAGAGGATCATAATGGTTACTTTCTAGTCCCTGTTGGTGATCGCTTTACACAGTGTAACCAAACCCGGGTCGTACTGTGTTAGCCACGCCTTCAATATACCTGAACTTGAACTGTATAACGGTATACTAAACATCTCCTCGTCCTCGTCCTCGTCCCACACTTCATGATACCAGTCCCATGACAGTTTACGTGTAGATAGCTCATCCATAAACAGCAGCGCCACTTGCCATGGACCTCCTCTTATGTGAATGTGAAGAGATGTTTTCAATTTGTATTTATCCACTGCTTCACGAAATTTCAATTGGAGTACTAAATGATTAAAATAAATAGAATATCAGTATTTTACCTGATAACATAATTGCGAAAAAATCACCTTTGCAGAGTTTTTTGTTTTTGCTTTTGTCTCAAATCTGACAAACCACAAAAAATACCTCGGCAAATTGGTGATTTGAATATGAAGAGATGTTTTCAAAAAAAGCAAAATATTGAGCCAGAATATTATAACGGGAACGACTTTTAATGCATTAACGTTCCCAACATTTGAATAATAGAACAAAAATTACGTCATTCAACCAAGCGCTTTGAGATTACCTTAAACAACTAAGCGTCAAGATTGCAAAGGAAGCCGACAGCAAAAATTGAACAAAAGACCTTGAGATACTCTAAGTTGGTACAGATACTCTGACTGATCAAAAAACCATCGCAAATAGTTTCAATCGATATTTCATATCGGAAAATTTGACTTATCCTCTTAACTTCCTGAAAGTTGATAGGACAAAGAATTTCGTGCAGGCATCAAATGCATTAAAGTTAAAAATCTCTTGTTGGAATTATGAGTCTGTCCAAGAAGGGACCGGGTAGGCGTGACACATGCCATCTCTCACCTAAGTTATTCAAGAATCCACAGTAGTTCGGGTTCCCAGATAATCCCTGGGGTATTAGAGCCCCCACATCAACTCCCTGGGTAAAAGCTAAAATTAGCTGGAAAAATGCACTTCCAACGAATCTCTCACACACTAATAGAATGCGATGGATCTTAATCCTACTTTGTCCAATGGTTGTTTGAACCTTAAGGAACCAAAACCATGAGGTTGGGCTAATTTGATATGACTTCTGCCAATTTAGAGCAGTTAATCATTAACTGTGTCACGCAACTATTCCAAAAAGGAAAAAATTAGGATTTTTTAATTGCAAATATTTCCAATGAGCAACATTGTATGACGAGAAACATACTATCACAGCAAAGACCTACCTTAACACTAAATTTGTGGGCAAAACATTTTTGGCCTCTGTAAAAGATTCGTGATCATTTCCCTCTAAAATACGTACCTTCTAACGTTAATTTATGCAATTTATGCAATTTTGATAAACTAATGTTTGGTCACTCAATTTCAATTTGAGAATGGGATCACCGACGCTAGTTCTTGTGGTACTAATGTCTAAAAACAACAGATGTATGGCTACTAAGCTAAGAAGTCTCTTATCATAGAAATTGTGTGACGCTGACACAATCTATTGGAAAAAAATGATTCATAAATGTATGTATTTATCATACATCAAACATTACCGAACTGAGTAATGGACGTCGGCAGTTGACAGCGACGTTTGCCAGATGTAATTTACGCAAATGAAACACTTTATATACCTATTATAATTTTACTCGATGCACCATAATTTTGAGAAGACTTTATCCAATTTTAGGTACATTACTGAACAGTTGTTCCTGATACATTTAACCTTTAATTGAAAAAAAAACAAAACAAAAAAGGAAAAAACGAGTGAGATTTGCTTCTCAGATGTAAAAGATCTATCAAGATTCCGATTTCTTTAGACTAAGGCAGGGAGAGGTTTCTGAAATTTTTTTTTTTTTTAATAAAGGGTCTTACTCGGTCCATTTTTGATTATTAGTCCCTTTTAACAGCATAAACGCCTCTTTTTACTCACGCTGAAGCCAATGATTCCATAGGTTACTCACAAGAAGAACATTATCTGACAGTCACTTTTAAAAATCTTTTTGTACCGGTAAGAAGTTTCTAGTTCTCTTCCTTATTTGAAATCTCGTCTCCATCTCTACGGCATTGTTGACGTATTGCTCGTATATTCATCTTCCAAGGAGGCACTTACAACTCCATTCAGGAGATCGGCCTTACTAAAGGCTAATAGCCTGCTTAAATATCTAGCAATTTGGATAAATGAAAGTTATTCCTCCTTGGTGAACAAGTTTTCTCCATTTCCTAATCTTAGACCCTTCATTTTGGATAGCGCACATCCCCAGAGCAGCTCTTTGAGACGCTGCACTGTTATTAAGAACCTGGCCAATAACCAAGTGCTCGTAATTATGAACTTGGCCTTAAAATTCTCCTTAGTTGGTTACCAGGAAACACAGAGAAAATGGTTTGGGATTATGGGCAGGTCATTGCACGTTTCTGTCGCGGTCAACAAGCGCGCGGATGGTGAAGTTGAGGTAGAGCTTTAAGTCCGAGATGGTAATTGTAAAAACGCAGCAGAGGAAATTTTAAAATACGTCGATAGACTACGCCACTGTTGCAAAAAGACTCTTTCCAAAATATGAAGAGGTACAGGATGGTGGGCATCAAAGCTTTGAACAACTTTCCTTTGAATCTTTTGGGACGAGAGCTTGAAAAGTGTAAAATACAGAAAAGAGCTTTTTTTAAATGGGACAGTCTCAAAAACACAGTTCTCCACAATTTCCATCAGAAAAAAATATTTACTTATTTCCTGAGTGGGAGGGCCGGACGGAAAATATTTGAGTCGACGTCATGACGGACCAAGCGCAACGACGTCCGTGCGCCATGACCGAGTGCCAAATTTCTTCCCTTCCGGCTCAAACAAACTCAATCAAAACGAATTTCACTATATATGGCCACTAAGTGTCGAAAATTCGAAAATTTTTTTAAACCTAAATAGGACGCGATAGAGGGGCGCACGCAAAAACCACAAAAAAGCCACAAAAAACGATTCTACAATACATACTTTTTTTTTTAAAGTTTTTGCAGCAAAACTTAAAGGAAACAGCTTTTACTACGGTTTTCTATGGGATTCAGCCACCTAGCTAGTCATCTAAGGATGTTGGAAGGTTTCATGTGGCAGCATCTCAGCCCCAAGTTGCCATAACTGGTTGGCAAGGGACGTTAAACAACCCACGCACTTTTCGTAAAGAGAAGGGGACGTAGCTCACGCTGTTGTGGTCTTGTCTTGATTCCGAAATTGGGGGCACTTGCAATACTTCCTTCCAATGTTTGTTGCCATACAATGTTGCTCATTGGAGATATTTGCGATTAAAAAACCCTAATTTTTTCCTTTTTTAACTGCTCTAAATTGGCAGAAGTTATATCAAATTACCCCAACTTTAAGGAATTGTTTCCTTAAGGTATCAAACAACCATTGGACAAAATAAGATTAAGATCCACGCATTCTGTTAGTGTGAGAGAGATCCGTTGGAAGGCATTCGATGTGGGGGCTCAAATACCCTAAGGATTAGCCGGGAGCCTGAACCACTGTGGATTCTTGAATAACTTAGTGACTCTCATAAGCTGTGAAAGTTTGAAAGAAATCGGTGAGATGACATGTGTCATGCCTAACTGGTCCTCTCGCGGACAGACTCTTAAAAGCCCATAGAAGCTTCAGCCCCGACGACATTTATCCAGGCAAGAACCTTTAAATGTAGCATTAACTCCCTAGCCTCACCCTTATACTCTTTGTTTAATAATTCATTCAAACTAGGTATCATTCCGAAAGCCGGGAATGTAGCTGCTTGTTTGTTTGTTTAATTTTTGAAAACAGCTCGGTGTTATTCTGCTTTCCATGAAAGGAGCCCAAATCAAATCGGAGAACTACAGACCTCTATTGTCAGTTAATTTTCAAGAGGATCGAAGGGAAGTCTAAGGCTAAGCCCAAGCAGTTGGTTTTATGAAAGAGTGTTCCTGCCTTCCAAAATTACTCAACACTTTCCCACAAAGAGCCCTGAACCAGGCTCTTGCGCAAGCCATTTAAAGTTTTGCGTTTGACCAGGGAGGGAGTTACTTCTATTCATTCTCGGCCAAATACAAACGGGAAATGAACCTTCATGTCCAAATAAAACGGATACGTGTATTCCAGCTCGTGTTCCCTTCATTAAGGCTTTGTTGACAGATTCAGTAAAAGCGAGGATTGAAAAAATAAAACAACATTTATTACATTCGAATTCAACAGCAGTCCTTGTACATATTTAATGTCCTTGGTTAACATACTTCGCAGTTTAGTGTGGTTCTTTCCAAAATATAAAATATATATATGTAAAATATGAGATTTTGGAACCTTGAAATATTATCAATCAGACGACATTCTGAACTATTATAGTAAATTGAAAAAGAGATTATACATTATAAGGACTACGTAACCCGTAAGACACTTTCTTATCATTAGTATGTAATTTTAGAGTAATACATAACTCTGCTCTTCATAAAATCATCAGCTAGGATGAAAAAAAATTACAAGTTAGAGTACAAGCTTTGCGTAAATGACTTACTAGGTAAAGTCCAAATAAACTCATTTGAACGAGTATACAACACCTACATTTGGCTTCGAAAACGAACAAGGCAGAACAAAACATTCCTTTTTGTTCAAGTGTATTGCAATTAAGCTTAAACATTATACCCTTGGAGTCTACCCACTAAAAATACGAAAGCCTATAAATATTGAGAATATGTTGTTACTTATTACTTATTTATACGTCACTAACTCACGTAGACTTTTTAAAAGTTTTCTTTTAGAAAACAACGATATTCATTAAATAGGTTATCAAAATATAATTTAATATTTTTGGCATCTTTTTACAGCTAAATCACCAGTATAACCAATTCCCTGTAGCGCAAAACTTTTTGTTACAAAAGGTATAACATTATTGCCAACAGACCCGTTATACGAAATTGCAGTTGCATTTGTAGTCTATTTTTTTAAACAGTGGAGTTCGTTTATCGAATAATGAACGTTTAATAATCGTTTGAGTCATGATACCGAGTCATTTCTAAACTCTTGATCGCGATGTTTCGACTGCCTCACTGCTGGTCATTTTTAATACTCCGTTCAACAAGTGATAGTGACTAGAAGGTCAGTTATCTAATTAAGCACCTTGAACAGTAATCTCTAAGTTGTCATTTATAAAAATGGAATTTATTTCATGACAAGCGAAACGTAACAGGAGGAACCTGTCAGGTCTCTGTGACTCTGACTTGTTACTTGGCCTACTTTGTAGTTGAACGGGAAAGTTGTGCTCCTCTAACTTCCCAATCAGTACCAGTTAACATTTGAGACAAATATTTTCTGCCTTTATCAGTTACATTCCGATTTCCGTGGTAGTCTAAGCTCCGTAGTTTGCAGTTGGTATCAGTCAAGGCCTTACACAGGTGCTTGATTCCTTCATCTCCAAATTCATTGTTGCTTATGTCTAAACTTGTTAATGTACAGAATCCGTTGGTTAAAACCTCAGACAATTCTTTGATTCCTCCATCTCCTAATCTAATAAAACCGATTTTCAATTTGGTTAACACACAATTACTGCTGGTAAGTGCATCGCACAAGTGTTTAAATCCGTTGTCTTCCCACCGAATGTGACTGGCGTTTAAGCTTGTTAATCTGCAGTTAACGCTTGTTAGCGCGTTACACAAGTGCATGATTCCTTCGTCTCCTAACCAATTGTTACTGACGTTTAAGCTGGTTAATGTACAGTTAACGCTTGTTAGCGCGTTACACAAGTGCATGATTCCTTCGTCTCTTAACCAATTGTTACTGACGTTTAAGCTGGTTAATGTACAGTTAACGCTGGTTAGCGCGTTACACAAGTGCACGATTCCTTCGTCTCCTAACCAATTGTTACTGACGTTTAAGCTGGTTAATGTACAGTCAATGCTGGTTAGTGCGTTACCCAAGTATACGATTCCTTCGTCTCCCCACCTATTCTCCCTGACGTTTAAGGTGGTTAATCCGCAGTTAACGCTGGTTAGCGCGTTACTCAAGAGCACGATTCCTTCGTCTCCTAACCTATTGTGACTGACGTTTAAGGTGGTTAATCTGCAGTTAACGCTGGCTAGCGCGTCACGCAAGTGCATGATTCCTTCGTCTCTTAACATATTGTGACTGACGTTTAAGCTGGTTAAATGGCAGTTAACGCTGGTTAGCGCGTTACTCAAGAGCACGATTCCTTCGTCTCCTATTGTGACTTGTGACTGACGTTTAAGGTGGTTAATCTGCAGTTAACGCTGGCTAGCGCGTCACGCAAGTGCATGATTCCTTCGTCTCCTAACATATTGTGACTGACGTTTAAGCTGGTTAAATGGCAGTCACTAATGATCAGCGCTTCACACAGGTGTTTTAATCCTTGATTTTGTAAACCATTGCCATACAGTGTCAAGCTGTAAAGTTCACTCTGAGGAAGCGCTGTACTCAAGTTCTTCAAACCTTCATCAGATATCCGACTCCTTGAGAGAATTAATCTGGTTACTTTCCAATCCCTGTTGGTGATCGCTTTACACAGTGTTATCAAATCAGGGTCGTACTCTGTTGGCCACCCATACAATATGCCTGAAATTGAACTGTATATCACTTCATTAGACACCTCCTCGTCCTCGTCCTCGTCCTCGTTATAAATTACACGAAAGCAGTACCATGGTTGTTTAGATATAGAGAGCTCATCCGTAAACAGCAGCACCACTTGCCATGCACCTTCTCTGATGTGAATAGTAAGGAATGCTTTCAATTCGTCTTTATCCATTGCTACACGTAATTCCTCCAAGGCACGAGGTGATTGGAGTACTAAAGGATTAAAACAAAAGAATATTAATTTTTTTACTTGAAAACATTACAGCGAAAAAACCTAACTTTACATTGTTTTTGTCTAAAAACTGACAAACCACAGAAAATACCTCGGCAAATTGGACACAAAAATAATTTCGAGTCTCCACGTTTCGACTTATTGTTGAATCATCCCAAGTCAAAGGAAACCAGTTGGGAAAACAAGGAGACGGACAGTATGAACAATAAAATGTCGTGCGATACCAAAAACATTAAGCCAAACCTTTTTTCTTCTTCTTTTCCAAGTCTTAAAATGTCAGCAAATCATTTGAGAAGTTGTAAATCATTGTCATAAGGTTTTATTCCAATATTATCTTTTCCCTCACTAGTAATCTAAAACTCTGCAGTCGAAAATGCCTGCGAGAGAAGTTGCTGGTGTTGTTTTTTTCCAAATCTGGTTTTAAAGTTTCAGAACATTTTCAAGAACACGAGAAAAAAATTGTTTTCGCTTTGCAAACATAACAACGAAGTATTCGTGTTGATAAATTGAAAGAGACGTCTTTTTCTTGAGAATACGATCATAAAGTACTTAGGTTACACCACATAAGCGACCAGCTTAACATCAGAATTCTATGCACTTATGGACTGAGTAGAAGGGTCATGTGGGTCCAGCTTGATCTTACTCAGTCAATCAGATTTTTATTTCATGAACGCCGCTCTTCTCATTTTACTTCCTTCTCACGTGGACGCACGCTTGGCCTTGCAGCTTTTCATGCCCCTGCCAGCGCAACCGCGCACGGCCTTCATAAAAGGGTTCATTTCTAAATCTTTTTTTTTTCCTTATTAGGAACGGGCATTAGACCGCGCAGGTCATTTGATGATTATATAAAGGTACCAGGTCTACAGAGAATGAAAAAACCCCAACACAAGATCACAAATCTGGGTTAAAAGAAAAATTCCTTGACCATTACACAAACCTAGCATTTCTCAATAGTCTTACCACCGAATATAGATAACTGGACATATGTTTCAAAGCCAATACAAGCTTATTTTAACAATGTTAAGTACCTTGCTTGCGGAAGTGAAGTTTGGCTGACTCATTTAATAAGTAGCTGACATAGTTCTGGAGTTCCTCGGGTAAACTGACATCAAACTTCGCCAGTCCTGATCTAATGGTCGGATACATGGCGTTCTCTAATGCTATCATGAAGGACACAAAAAGACACAAACTATTTTAGTACTTAAGGTCACATTCTCAGTTCAGAGAAATTATTAAAATGAGGAACTACTTAAAAGACAACGTAAGAGTCAATGTTGTCATTAACTGTGAAAGATCACAGACAAGCTTGGGGTCAAATTTAAATTTTTCATTTAAAGATACCACCAACACGT